CCCAGCTCGGGATGGGCTTAGACTCGACACGTCAGACAGCCTGTTTTTTTTTTATTTGGTCAGATTGGAGCCACTTTTTTTTCTAAAAGTGCCAGGGCTGCAGATTGAGAAAAAACACTGACTCCGACAAATGGGAACATTTTTGACGTTTGGGTTAGGGTGAAATGAAATCGCACCCCGCCATTAGCCCTTGTCACGTCCGGGAACCACCACGATTCCCTCGCCTTCCACCTAATCTCCTCCCCTGCTGCTCCCCTGGTCCTCGGTCTCCCCTGGTTAGCCACCCATAACCCTAACATCGACTGGTCGCAGGGGAAGATCAGGAATTGGAGCGCCTCCTGTCATGCGTCCTGCCTCCTGTCTGCTCGAGCCCCCGGTAATCCTCCCTGGCCTAGCCCACCTCCCCTCCCTCCCGACCTGTCCGGTGTCCCACATGTGTATCACGACCTCGCTCTAGTTTTCAGGAAGGATCAGGCTCTGTCGTTACCCCCCCCACCGCCCCTACTGCTCCATAGACCTCCTCCTGGACGCGCCTCTCCCTTCAAGTCACCTCTACAACCTGTCGCGTCCGGAGAGTCTATGGAGCAGTACATTTAAGACTCTCTTGCTGTCGGCATAATCCGCACCTCTTCCTCTCCGCTAGGGGCTGGCTTCTTTTTTGTCGCCAAAAAAACCAGACCCTTCGCCCTTGTATCGATTACCGGGGGGCTCAACGCCATTACCATAAAAAAATAAGTACCCCCTCCCGCTCATGGACTCCGTCTTCGAGTCCCTCTCTCGGTCCACTATTTTCACCAAATTAGATTTAAGAAATAAATCTTTTTAAATTAAATTTTATTTTAAATTACCACCTGGTGCGGATCCGAGAGGGGGACGAATGGAAAACCGCCTTCAAGACCCCCCTTGGTCACTACGAGTATTTAGTCATGCCCTTCGGCCTCACCAACGCCCCTGCAATCTTCCAAGCCTTAATCAATGACGTCCTCCGAGACTTCCTCCACCGCTTCATCTTCGTATATCTGGACGCGCCCAGTCCACCGACCCGGATCCCGGTACGTCCCCTCAAGTGTCCGCTCCCGGGTCCTCCAATGGGCGCACGCCTCCAAGTTCAGCTGCCACCCAGGGATGGCTCGCACCCTCTTCATGCTCCGCCAGCGATTCTGGTGGCCCGCTATGGACAAGGACTGTCGTGCCTTTGTAGCAGCCTGCGAGGTGTGCGCCCGCGCCAAACTGCCGCAGAATCTGGAGGGAGGCCAGGGCGGCTCTGCAACGCACCGCAGCCCGCAACCGCCAGTTGGCAGACCGCCACCGGACCCCTGCGCCTGCCTACCGGCCCGGGCAGCAGGTCTGACTTTCCTCCAAGGATCTCCCCCTACAGACCTCCTCGAAAAAACTCAACCCCCGGTTCATCAGACCTTAGCCCATCGAGGCCATCATCAACCCCTCCGCTGTCCGTCTAACCCTCCCTCCTCACCTTAAGGTCCACCCCGTCTTCCATGTCTCCCGAATCAAGCCCGTTTCCACCAGCTCCCTCTCCATACCAGCGGCGGCGCCCCCCCCTCCTCGTACCCAGCCTATTCAGTGCACCGTCTCCTCGATGTCCGACGTAGAGGCTGGGGATACCGGTACTTGGTGGATTGGGCCGGCTACGGTCCGGAAGAACGTTCCTGGATCCCCACCAGCCAAATCCTGGACAAGTCCTTCCTGGCAGATCTACCGGGCCCACCCTGACAAGCCGGGGGGGTCCGCCTGGAGGCGTCCGTTAAGTGGGGGGGCCTGTTGCGGTGGCAGCCCGGCTGACGGTGAGTGCCCTGTGCTCTTTTGTTTCTTTTTTACTTTGTCTCGCATTTCTGTTTTCTCCCCCGTGTCTCCTCGCCTCTCCCTCTGTGTGTGCTCTCTCCCTCTCCGCCCTGGAGCCCGGCTGATTACCCGCACCTGTGTCTCGTCAACCTCCACCTCCGCCCGCCACACCTGCCTGCCATCAGCCTCATCCTCAACAGTATTTCTACCCCGGTTCTCCACTCCATCTTCGCTTGATCGTCGTCGCTCCAGTCCTGGTGCCACTTCAACGTTCCAAGCTCTCAGATACCTTGTTCCCTAACCTGTTGTCTCCCGAGACTAACCCTGTCTTTTCTTTCTCCCCGCCAGGTCCACTCACCCCCGCCATCCAGTCAGCCAGCCGGGCTCGCCTACCTGCCTTCTCCCCTCCCCTCGCCTCTGCGGCATCCCTCCGGCTTCCCTCCACGCTCCTCACCTCCCTCGCCTCGGCCTCCAGCCCCCTCTCAGTCTCCTCGCTCGAGCCTTGCCAGCCCCGCCTGCTCCTCGGCCCTCCGTGCCCACGTCTGCCGACATCCAGTGCACCTCATCTCACCTCCCGACTCCCCTCTTACCTTTTTTTCCCTCAATAAACCTCTTTTGTAAACTGACAAGCATTGTGTTTGGGTCTGTTCTGTCCGCAACCATAATAGTTCCTAGAGTCTCCAAAAGTAGAATGGGAGCCAGCTCTCCTGTGGAACCAGGTTCCAGTTTGGGTTCAGGAGGCAGACACCATCTCCACATTTAAGAGTAGGCTTAAGACTTTCCTCTATATAGTTAGTTAGGACTATAAGCTTTATCAAAGAGGAAAGTCAGGTGAGTCCTGAACCATCCCTTAGTTATGCTGTTATAGGCCTAGACTGCCGGGGGACTTCCCATGATGCACTGAGGTCCTCTCTCCTCTACTTTCTACAGATAGCTGCCCACCCTGAGCCATGGTTCTGCTCGAGGTTTCTGCCTCTGTCACCTAGTGCTGCTCTTGGTGGGAATTGTTGGGCTTCTGTAAATAACATCACAGAGTATGGTCTAGACCTGCTCTTTTATGAAAAGCTCTGTGCATAACTGTTGTTGTGATTTGGCGCTATATAAATAAAATTGAACTGGATGTAGTAGGACTGCTACAATGGTTGAGTTTGAAAGTTTCAGAGAATTGGCCACTTTGCCTGTGAAGAAGACAGCAAAGGTATCAGCAGACAAGTTTGTGGGTGGTGGAGGAGGATTTAGTAGTGCTTTAAAAGTGGAAAATAATTTCCTTGAGTCAGTGGCACTGCTAATTCTGTTATTATAGAACGCAGTTTAGGCAGCACTGATGCTTGTTGAGAAGGAGGATAGGAGCAGTTGGTAGCCCTTAAGCCCATTGTCTTTCAGCAGCTCTGAGATCAGTACGGAGCACACACATATGGTATCAGTTAGCCATGGGTGGGACTGGTTTGGGCGAGCAGGCTTGGTGAATAGAGGACACAGGCTATCCAGGCACGAGCTTGGTGTAGAGCACAGAGATTGTGTGGCATCATTGACCTCAAGTGAGGAAAATGTGTTGAGGGAAGGTAGAGTGGAAGCTACCACTGAGGCAAAGTGAGCGGGAGACAGGTTGCGGAGGTTGTGGCGGTGTGAGACCAACGGTGTTGGAACAATGGGCTTTTCCTGTAGGCATACCGTGAACTGAATGAAATAGTGGTCTGACACAGAGCTATGACTGTTAGGCACTTGTGGCACAGTTTCAGACAAGAACGAGGTCAAGCACCTTGCCAGCTTTGCGTCAGGGGGCCCGTGTTAAATCAAAGGACTGAATCAGATACAGGAAGTCTGCTGAGTTTGAATTGTCTAAGTGAATGTTCATGTCACCGAGGACAAGTAGGGGACAGTCATGCTCTGGTATTCAAGACAGCAGTGTGTCTAGCTCTTCCACAAAGTTACCCATTTGTCCTGGTGGACGGCATTTGACAATATCACAGACCTTTACCAGAGCGGATACAAAGACAGCATGGTATTCGAAGGTGGCATATTGATTCGGGGTAGCAGCTGTGAGAATTTCCATTTGTTGGACATTAAGAATCCAGTCCCATCTTTTTGACTGTGGGGGAAAGTAATTGGTGGACAGCGCAGCGGGGTAGCTGAGTTTTCTGGTTTGATCCAGGTCTCAGTGAGCACCAGTAGCCCAAGAGATAATGTGTTAGCATAAGTAGTGATATAGTCAGCTTTGTTGACTGCCGACTGGCAGTTCCATGACCCAACAGACAAGTAAACAGATGTGGGTGGTGCCTGACGGCATGATACCTCTTGCGTGGACCGGAGACAATAGGAATAGTATAGTAGCACATGGCCTAATTGTAGTTGTAGCTGGCAGCTTTAGGTGAGTAGGTGTGTCTCGGGAAAGGAAAAAGCTACTCTTGTAGGCGGCCTTGATCAGCGGACTCCGACGCTTATGCTGACGCTTCAGTGGTAGGTTTCACTGAAGTAGTATGATATCGCCCTCTGGATTAACAAGACAAAAGCTTGGTTTCAGTGGGTGGGACACACACCCAGTTTGATCTTGCTCAGCTGGCCTTCAGATTCTAGTGGATTGCTCAGTAAAAGTGCAAAGAAACTGTGTAGCCTAGTGAATGATCAGGCTGCTGTAATCTGACTGTTCAACAGATAATGTTTATTGGAACCTTGAGATGTTTCTACATGTTATGTTGACAGACATGTTTCTGGATTGTGAAGAAATGATCTTTAGCCTTTAGTGCCAAAAGCTGCTCTGACAGATCACAGCTCAAATAGTGGACAGATAATGCAGCTGTGCAACACAGATTTAATTGACGTCGCTTTAAAATGAGGCTCTGAGTAAAGGACATCTCATTTTGTGAAATGCCCGTTTCCTTGAGCTCGCATCTCGGGTGGGCGGGACTAAAATGTGCCTTGAGGATCGAGGAGTCGCAAGACTGTATGGCTGCAGCCTCCCAAATCACGCCCTCCTGCGTGGTGCCTTCTGCTAGCTTCAAGGGGCAAAAGGGCACGGTCTGTCTTCCTTGTACCGAATAGTTACGCAATCATGCAAGTGATTAAAATCTTAATATATCTGCTGCTTATCCTGTGTATGTGCCAACCCAACAACATAGACACTAAAAAAAAAATAAAAAAAAGTATTTGCAGTGATTTCCCTATCAAGTGTGGAAACAATATAGAATAAATAAAAACGAGTCTTGGAGAAAGTATAACATGTTTATTATTTTGTTCTTCTATTTCACTGCCCTCCCGCACATTGGCAAAAATTGCTGCACAATCCAGGGTGGGGATCTTAAGATATCCCCTGCAGCTCACCTCTTCCAACATACCCTCTGTTTATATGAAAAACAGAACAAAATCATACTCTTGATCTGCATACAGTGTTCAGATTTGTTTTTGTTTTAGTCTTGTTAGTGTGGCAGAAACGAGTGACCTATGACACTCGAAGCTGAAAATGTCCGACAACACCACTTGGGATAGGCCCAAGACCTTTAAAGCACACAGATAGTTTTATCAAAATTAGGGGGCAGAGACAATCAAGTAATTAAAAAATATATACAATTTTATTTTGTCATATATTAATAGCAACACCTGCTCTATTAAGAAGATAAGTAATGCGTATGAAAAAAGCCATAAACACCATTCAAAACAAACCCGCATGCGTAATTAAAGGATCAAAATCAAAGAAAAAAAACCCCGATAAACCCACAGGCAATACCAATATTTACAGAGCCAATGTCTGGATATTCAAACACTTAAAACATATCGCTCCAAACCAGTTCTGTGCATCCAGGACAGTCATATCCAGACACTGTATCAATATACAGCAAAGTTTTATACCGATATTCAGAACAGCAAGAGTGGGAGGAGAAACACGCCGGGGAGTGTTAACCTCTTAGATAACTGTGGCACCTAGCAGCCTCAACAGCAGCATGCACACAGCTGTAGCTCGGTCCCGCTGTGATGTGAAAACACCATTAAAAAACAGGTCCACCATAAATTGTAGCAAACAAGGTACTTACCACTTTACGGGACACGGGACCCACAGACCCCGGCAGGGGGCAAGCAATCCGCGCAGCCACACAGCACCCAACTATAACAAATAAGACAATCAGATCTCAATAAACACCAAATAGTACGAAGAGGGAGGCATACAGCTTACCGAGGCACCCAACGCCAGCAGCCCAGGTATTCATCTATCCACACGGAATAGCCACGGCAAAAACAGAGTCGGCTCTATGAGAGAACGCTCATTAGTGCCACCCGCACAACAATGCAAACACTGAAAGGCACGAAGATAAAAAGACTTCCTTACCACTCCGCAGTAAACTAACAACCTCTGGCAACAGCAACAAACGTGCAGCACGCCAGCCCAGACACGTCTCCACACCCAACAGAAGAAACCTAAATGAGTCTACCACACAAGCTTAAAAAGGCAGCTCCCCACCTCTCCCAATCAAAGGGGATGAGCCCCAGGTGTGCTGGTGCGCCTTCCTATGCACAGGTAAGAGGGAGGGAAAGAAAACGTCTCGGGTTACGTATGTAACCCTGGTTCCCCGAGAAGGGGAACGAGAGACTGCGTCGGTTACGACACTATGGGAACGCCTCTAGGCGAAGCAGGTCTGAACGTGAATGAAATCACTCCAATCCTATTGGCTTGTTGCTAGAACGGTAAGGTGTGACGGAATAACCGGAGTATAAAGCACACCTGTACACACTCATCATTAGCTTAAACTATGAAGCAGGCGCTTCAGGCGGGGAGAGAGGTGCGGCGGGCCGACGCAGTCGCTCGTTCCCCTTCTCGGGGAACCAGGGTTACATACGTAACCCGAGACGTTCCCCTTCGAGGGAACTCGAACTGCGTCGGTTACGACACTATGGGAACGAGATACCCACTAAACCGTGCCGAAAACCCCGCCTGCCCCTGTGTGCAATAAAGTGGCACGACTAAGAGGAGAGCGCACGAGTGCCAGGTGCCGAAGGAAGGTCAAGACTGTAAAACCGAATGAATGTGTGCGGAGTGGCCCAGCCAGCCGCTAAACAAACATCCTGCAAGAGGCCCCGGAAAGGAGGGCTCGAGAGGCCGCCATGCCTCTGGTAGAATGAGCCCTCACAGCCACAGGTGAAGGCAAACCGCGCACCTGATAGGCCAGGGAAATAGTCTGAACAATCCAGTTGCTAATAGTATGTTTGGATGCAGGGAGCCCGGCCCTGGGAGACCCAAAACACACTAGCAGCTGGTCAGCCTTCCTCCAACGGGAGGACCTCAGAGTGTAAATACTCAGTGCTCTGACAGGGCAGAGCAGATGAAGTCTCCCGTCCTCCGCCGTCACATGAGGTGGAGGATGAAATGCCTGCAGCACTGTGGACCCTGCCGCACAAGAAGGCACTTTAGGGATGTATCCTGAACGAGGGTGCAGGATAGCCCTAATATTCCCCGGGGCAAACTCCAGGCTTTGCGGGGAAACCGAAAGCGCTTGGAGCTCCCCCACCCTCCTCAGAGAGGTGATAGCAAGGAGAAAGGCCATCTTGAGGGTCAAGTGCTTAGCCTCAGCTGACTCCAGGGGTTTGAAGGGGGCCTCACCCAACGCCCCAAGAACCACTGCCAGATCCCAAGTGGGAACCTTGGACCGAGTCGCAGGTCTCATCCTCCGGGCACCACGGAGGAAAAGTACAACCAAGGGAAGTTTCCCCAAGAACCCCTCCCTCAGAGGGGTGTGGAAAGATGAAATAGCTGCCACGTACACCTTGAGGGTGGAAGGGGAAAGACCAGCAGAGAACCGGTCCTGGAGGAACTCAAGTACCTGAACCACCGGGCAGGTAACAGGGTCCACCGACCGCTCCCTACACCAAGTGGAGAAAACACTCCACTTCAGGCCGTACATCCTCCGTGTGGACGGGGCCCTGGAGCTCAGGAGGGTCTCGACTGCTCCGGCTGTTAGACCCGCCTCTAGGTACTGTGCCCCCTCAGGGGCCAGACCCACAGTCGCCATATGGCGGGGCAAGGGTGAAGAACCCGGCCCTGCGCCTGGGACAGCAGGTCTCTCCTCAGAGGGACCCGCCACGGCGGGCCGTCCAGGAGCGACATGATGTCCGAGAACCACACCCGGGTTGGCCAGAACGGGGCTACGAGCAGTAGGCCGACATAGTCCTGGCGGACCCGCTCCAGACCCCGGGAGCAGAGCGACTGGGGGAAAAGCGTACAGACGTAGCCTCGGCCACGAATGTACCATGGCGTCCAGACCCAACGGGGCTGGAGGAACGAGAGAAACCATAGCGGGCAGTGCGTAGTCTCTTGAGACGCAAACAGATCCACGTCTATGGGGCCGAACTCTTCGCACAAGAGCTCCACCACTTCGGGGTGAAGTCTCCATTCCCCGGGCCTCAGCCCCTGCCTCAACAGCAGGTCTGCTCCCTGATTCTGCGTCCCCAGGAAATACATCGCCCTGAGCGATAGTAACCTCTGCTGGGACCACAGGAGGATCTGACGCGCCAGTCTGTCCAGAGGGCTCGAGCGCAGACCGCCCTGGTGATTCAGATAGGCCACCACCGCTGTGTTGTTCTCCTCGGAACGAACCAGGACGTGGTGGCCTTGGAGATCGGGCAGGAAACTCCTTAGAGCCTGGAACACCGCCAACATCTCGAGACAGTTGATATGCCACTCGGATCGATGCACCTGCCAGGATCCCCTTGCAAAGCGGCCGTCCATGACCGCGCCCCAGCCCGTGAGGGAGGCGTCTGTCGAAATAACCAGCCGGCGACAAGACCCTCCCAGCACGGGCCCCTGGGACAGGAACCAAGTTTCCTTCCAAACTGATAGGGAACGAAGACACTTGCGCGTAACCCAAACCAGACGGAGAGGATTCCCCTCGGGGAAAAACCCTTGTTCCTTAGCCACCACTGCAGGGGTCTCATGTGCAGCAGTCCAGATGGTATTACGCTGGACGCAGCCGCCAGGAGACCCAACACTCGTTGAAAGTGTTTCATAGTGATGGCGTGGCCTAACTTCACCCCTTTCATGGCAGCCAATATGGTGTCGACACGTGCCGGAGACAATTGTGCCCGCATCGTTGTCGAATCCCATGCAACCCCTAGGAACGTAGCCCGTTGGGTGGGCGCCAGCATGCTCTTCTTTGCGTTGAGCCTCAGCCCTAAACGCCGCAGCCAGAACGACATCTCGATGCCGAACCGCCAACTCTCGAGACTGGGCTAGGATGAGCCAGTCGTCGATGAAGTTGAAATCCGGATGCCCCGGAGCCTCAGCGGGGCCAGTGCTGCATCCATACACTTGGTGAATGTGCTAGGGGAAGTGCCAGGCCGAATGGAAGAACCCGATACTGGTAAGCCACACCCCCGAAGGCAAACCTCAGGAACTTCCTGTGAGAAGGACGGATGGAGACCTGGAAATAGGCGTCCTTTAGATCTATTGTGACGAACCAATCCTCAGATTGGATGTGTGTCACGGTGGCGGGGATGATGAGCATCTTTAACCTGAATCTCCTCAGAGACCGGTTAGAACCCGCAGATCCAAAATAGGGCACGCAGCCCTCCGTCCTTCTAGGGGACTATGAAGTACCGGCTGTAGAACCGGCGTCTCTGTCTGGGGGGGAGACACGTTCCACGGCCCCTTTCCTCAGCAGAGTACAAACTTCCTGTCCCAACACCGGACCTTGCTCCAGGCGGACCACAGTCCAAACCACCCCCTCTCTTCTGTTGAATTTGGAGGGCGGGTTTTGAACTGTAGTCGATACCCATCTATGGCAGTGCGCAGGACCCGCGGAGAAATGTTCGGGAGGGGAGAAAGACTCCCCTACCCCGGTCTTCCCTGAGCTCCGTCAGGACTGGATGACGGTCCTCAGATCGCGTCTCTCAGACGGCTGAGGGTGAGAGCGCCGTCTCGCTGCCCCAGCTCCTCGGGGGGCCCCCGAGAAGTGACACTCTGCTTCCCTCCTCTCCGTAGGAGCTCGTAGAGGGAAGGGACCTACGCCTGGCAGCCTCAGCTGCCTTGGGTCCAGACCGGTGAGGGAGGTACTGGCGGAACGCTTCGCACTGCGTCTAACGCTTCGTGGTTCTGCAAAGCTCCGCCAGATCTTCCTCGGAGGGACACCCCCTCTGAACCATCTCCTGTAGCAGGTTGGCTTGGTAGGCTTGAAGCACCGTGGTGTGCAAGCTCGCTGGTGTCTGCTCCTCCTGTGGCCAGTTGATGTTGAGCTTAGCCACGGCTCTAGTCACCACCTCCAGCAGCACGTCATAGTCGGGCGTCGCTGGATGACGCCGCCCCGACACCCGGAAGTCATCGTCCACTGCGCTGAGCACGTCCGCCTCCTCGGAGTCGGATTGCTGCAGCGTCTCCGGATCCAAACCGCGAGCGGGAGAAGCCGAGAACGGGCTCCCGAACGAGGAAAGGAAGCGTCGGAGCCAGCGGATGAAGGTCGGGAAAAAGCCTTAGCCGTCCCGAAATCCTCCGACAGATCACGCTGTGAACCCCATGAGTGAAGCCGCCGGGCCGCCTCAGCGGCCGCAGGGCCCACACCACGGGGAGAACACATCCGGCCATCCTCGGAAAAGAGAGCCATGCGGGACCTCAGTACCCGCACGGAAAGGGCTTCGCAACGGGCGCAGGCAGCCCCCTCGAGAGCTGCCCGGGCGTGCTCCATCCCCAAACATGAGACACACATCTCATGAGAATCTCCATCCGTGATGTACCGAGGGCAAGAAAAAACACACCTTCTGTACATCTGGTTGCCGGACATGCTGGTAGACTTCTTCTTCAGGTAAGACACACTGCTTGTAGGACTGGAGCTTTCTTCAAACAACATACAGAGCGCCTGCTGAATAAAAAAAAGCTAATGATGAGTGTGTACAGGTGTGCTTTATACTCCTCCGGTTATTCCGTCACACCTTACCGTTCTAGCAACAAGCCAATAGGATTGGAGTGATTTCATTCACGTTCAGACCTGCTTCGCCTAGAGGCGTTCCCATAGTGTCGTAACCGACGCAGTTCGAGTTCCCTCGAAGGGGAACCTCATCCTGCCACATCAGCAACAATTGATTTGCTCAGCACAGTAGGCTGTCCCCTAGAAAGAAACCACTAAAGTCTGTTATCATAAGTTGCTAGAGGTAACAAGTTAGTGTTGAGCTTATATTCGCTTACAAACGTCTAATTCCGCTGTTGCAGTTTAAAGTGTTAAAGTCATTGCAGGTTTCCTCAAATACCTTGACGTCAGGGACACAACAATAACACCCAGAAATCTGCAAAGTATATCTATGGCCAAAATCGTAATTTAAGAGTTTATACTTTTTTAATTGATTGCATGAATGAACTCACTCGTGACTGCTGCTACTTCTTTTCTTGATTAAGACCGGATTGCAAACAACGTTTAGGTGCATACAGCCATCTACTGTACAGAAGTGTGTAACACACACATTCGCGATTTCCATTTTGAAACTACGTTTAAAACAATCTTTCTACCAGATTGCTGGAATAGCATTATAATAGCACTATCATTAGCATGACAGTCTTCATTTATCAGTTCAAAAACACCAAAGAACAAGGTAGAAATACGGAACAAGATGTGAGCTTTTATTTTGAAATGTAGAAACTAGCTGAAAGCACCAGGCGGGAGGGCATGGGACAAGAGGGCATGAGACTGGAGGCTCCAGGCTGCAGCCATACCCGTCTCAGGAGTCGAGGAGACAGACATTTGGGAAATGAGAAAGGCCCCCTGTCTGCTACACTGTAAAAATTTCAAGGCTGTGAAAACTCAAAATTTCAAGGCAGCTTACTGCACTCAATGTTTTAAAGCCACTTCAATTTCCATGTTTATTTTCAACAAACATTAAAGAAACACATGACTGTATCATTCAAGTATCATTCTTTTAAAACAGGCATTTAAAATAGTGTACATGTACATCTGACAACCAATTTCAACATTCATCACCATCAAAAAAGAGATGCAATTTTATGTTCCAGAGTCTCAGCTTCTACATACTCTTCCTCACCATTGTTAATTGAACCACTTTTTGCCTCTACCTCATTAAAGTCATTTGATGGCTGGTCAATGATATAAGTGTCAAAGGCAAAGGTTTCATTTTCAGCAATTTCAGGGCAAATGCGCTCAGTCCAATTTTCTCCAAATTAGCATTACTCACAGAAAGAGGTAGATGTCTTCTTACAGTGATTTTAATGCGACACAGGGCCAGTGAGCTCCTCTTCCGTGTCGTAGTCTACGGCTCAATAGATCTTGTTGACTTGAGCTGAGAAAACCGCAGAACCCACACACACACACAGGATAACTGCAAGGACAATGAGAAATAAAAGGCAACTTAGTTAATTTACTTTTAATGGATCTATACAACAAAATGTTCTCACATACGTCAACAGTGTACTGTGCACGACCACACTGCCTTCTATTTAGGCTGTGTATATACTTTATTTCATTAAATTGTGATTTGAAATTTAAACTCTGCAGCAAAACAAACACACACCTTACCTTCTCTAGTGTGTTGCACGTTCCCATTCACTGTATTACCATCTCTCTCGCACTCACTGGCTACTGGCTCGTGGGCTGCGAGGAGATATTCCCTGAAGTCAACAAAAAGTTTGTTTATTTCTCATTTACAATTTTTAATTCAATTCACTTACAACTTACAGTCTGCTAGCTGTCTGTTCTGTGTTTTTCCTGAAAAAAAATTCACAGCCTTGCCTCTGAAAATTGGAAATAAACATAGCGGCTCTGCATGTGAACATACCTACTGTATCTAGCACACAAGAGAGGGTTGTGGTTGGTGGAACCTCAGTACACCTTTCCCGGTGAGACTGACCACGGAGCAGCAGGAGCTTCACAGGACAACAACTGTAAGAATTTAGCATTTGGAGATAAACAAATTAGTTTTTATACATTTTGTGAGGAATGTGCAGGGTCAATGTTGTGAATTATGAAAATGCACAAATGTATTGAACACTGTGTGTGGGCATGTGCGGGTATACACTCGCACAGTTGTCAGTTTATTAGGTACACCAAGAACTAATTCAGTGTAATACAGCTCTGAAATAAATCCTTCCTTCATGAGGATTATAATGAGTTTTTAATGGAGTCATGGTATAATTTACACTAAGAAGTGTTCCAAATATTTAGTCCATCCTATACATGTATAATAAAAGTACAGTTGACAAAATGTTAAGAACACCTCTCAGTATAACCCCATGGTTAACTAGCACCATAAACAGCCTTCAAATTGACCATTAAAATAATCTAATACCTCTGTCAAATACCTATCAAAGAAAGGTTTTAATGCAGAGCCATTGTATTGCATTGCATTAGTTTTGTCTATGTGTACCTAATCAATTCTAAAGAGTGTGTAACATAACCAGCAAATGCCTTGACAAAATGGTGGGTGGGGCACACTTAAATACATTTATGGGAAACCCTGTAGGGTAAGGTTATATGGCCATAAAAAATAAATTACAGTAGTTAGCAGTATTTATTCTGATGTAATACATAAATGAATAGTGGTTCAAAATTCTCTGACAATCAGCTGTTTTTGATGCGCCCAATGCACTTCTGAACCATGCATAGCGACTCTGCGGTCCATATAGACATGGAATTTATCAAACCATTGTTTACCATGCAAACATCAGTTGACTATTTAGTTATCAAGCAAGCTACAGTGTAGCATCAAGCACATGATTAAACAAAAGAATTAAACATGTGACTACTGCAAAGCCAGACTTTCAGTACTATATTAATATTCAAACAAAACTCACCTTTTTGACTTCAGGTTCTCTTGAAGAAAACAGAAGAGCTGTCCTGGTATGTCCAACACTGACATGTGGAGGAAAACCCCTGCACGACTGCTTAGGAAACCCCATTCTTAGCACTACTTGAGTTGGCTCAGCTCAAACTACAATTTCAAAGTTGTGCCACCATAAATTTTGCATTGAGACCTACTTTATACAAGAAATGTAATAAAGTTAGTTGAAGAAACTATTTTAACAAAGTTTACAATGCCGTTAATTATTTTTTGTTCAGTTTAAACAAAAATCTAATTAAGATGAGCAATTTCAAGTTTTCATTTTTACAGTGTTGCACGTCGGCCATGAGGCCGATGTGCACAGCTGTAGGGTTAACCGGTCAACATGCATATAATCAGTAACTTAGGTTTAGGCACACACTCGGTGGTGGCTGTGGTAAGGGTAATTGGCTTCGGGGGGCTGTAAAGAGTAAGATAGCTAGCTAGCCAGTCAGCCAGCTGGCAGTATCAAATTAAACAAGGGTCCTGGAATTGCAGTTAACGGTCCTAGGATTGCGGTCCTGAAACTGCAGCCTCCGGTACTGCAGCTACATCACTCTAACAAGTCACCTGGGACAGATGGTTTATCGTTTTCCCAGCAGATGGCGTCCTTCTTCCTGCAGGTTTTCAATGAAAGTATAACAGTCAATACCTTACCTTAGTATGACTCAAGTTTTGGTTACTTTACTCCCTAAACCATGCAAGGATTTGCTTTATATAGATAATTGGCGTCCAGTTAGCCTCTTGAATAACAAATTTTAAATTTTGGCCTTGATCTTTGCTAGAAGAATAAAAAAGTATTAGTTTCTATAATTGATGATACACAATCAGGCTTTATGCATTAATAGGAATATCTCCAACAACATTAGACTAGTCTTAGATGTAGTTTTGTGTCGTGTTTCATGTTGTATTCATATTTAATATCAGACGACAGCTTCTTGTTTTTCTTAGACTTTTTCAAAGCTTTTGATACCATCGAACATAATTTTCACTTAAGAAGTTTATTTAAGAAGCCCTATTTCTCCCTATCTCTTTTTACTTGCAGCCCAACCTTTATGTGTACATATTAAAAATTGTAATTTGCATTGCATTTCCATAAAACAATGATAAAACAATTATTATTAGTCAGCTGGCAGATGACACAACACTGTTTTTAAAAGACAGCTCCCAGGTTACTCTTGTTGATTTAATTGCTAATATTCCTGTGAAAAACTGTATTAATTATTTAGGTGTTGTAATTGATAAAAATGAACCCCAAAAATGCAAGCATAACCTCACTCCCATTGTTGAAAAAATTAAATTCAGCCTTTGGCTATTACGTGATTTATCATTGAAAGGATGAAGGAATATCAAGAGTAACAAACTTTATCTATAGATCAACAAATGTGTAAAACTATAGATAGTCCATCATGATTTTGTATGGAAAAATTGCAATCATTATCTGAAAAAGTCTATTTTAATGAATGAGTACAGTAAAGGTGGCTTATTTTCTAGACTTTACCCCTTTAAATTACACTTTCAATATTAATTTGATTAAGCGGTACTTAAAGTGTCCAACCAATCTGTGGAACTTTATTCCCCAGTATGTCGTCTCTGCAGTTGGTGGTCTCCAATTTGTGTTGGTATGCACTTTATTAAAAAATTCCTCTTAAACTTTTTTCATTTCAAAAACAAATGCTACTGGCTTGGTCTTTAATTTACAAGCATAACTTCACTCATAAGTTTTATATTTGGAACAACAGATATATTTTGTATAAAAACATATCCACTCAGGAGGTAGAGCGGGTTGGCCGTTAATCGGAAGGTCGGCGGTTCAATACCCAGCTCCCCCAGGCTGCATGTCGAAGTGTCCTTGGGCAAGATACCGAATTTCCCCTGGCAGCTGTTCTGCCAGTGTATGAATGTTAGTTTCTGTTTGAGCACTTAGGCTCAGTGAATGTGAGTGAATGGTGAATGCAGATGAATGTAAAAGCACTAAGTGGTCGAAAAGACTAGAAAGGCGCTATACAAGTATGGAGCATTTACATTTTCTTTCAACAGTGGTATGACAATGACCTTTATCTTGTAAATCAATTATTCAACCAACGTCGTCTACAACTACACTGAATTTATTCATTACTATGGTATCCCTATTTCACCAAAGGACTACTCTGTCGTCTTTGATGCGATACCTGCAGCTGTCATCTCACTTTTTAAAGGTTTTAATGGATTTGATGATCCCCTACACTGGTGGATGTGAAGGACACAACTGTTGGGAACATCTGTTTATCGCTGCAACCTAAAAGTAACAATAAGGCAATTTGTCAACTTTTTCAACAGGACATTAGCAGTACGTCCGCTGCTTCATCATACTGGACCTCATTTGTTGGAGAGATTTGTTGGGAAAAGGTTTGGCTTTTGCCACACAAGTTTTTTTAACCAACAAAGTTAAAGAGATCACTTATGCTTCACAGGTTTTACCACACTAACTATTACCTGCAAAAACTTAATACCATTCCATTTTCCCCTGTGTTTTGCCTGCCTCTCTGTGTCTCCTCCTCTCTCTCTCTCTCTCTGCTCCTGAGCCCAGCTGACGATCCACACCTTCACCTCATCAGCAGCCTCCTCTGCCTGCCACACCTGCCAGCAATCACTCTATCTCTGCCAGTAGATCAACCCTGGTTCTCCACACAATCTCCGCTTGATCGTCATTGCTCCTGACCTGGTGCCACAGTGTTACTCTAGCTTCTTAGAATCCTGCAAAATCTGTTTACCTGTTCTTCCCTCTGGCGTCTTCCACGGCTCCCCCCTCGCTCCTCGCCAGACTGCCTGCCACCACACTCCTTCTCCCATCCCTCTGGTCAGTTTTCCCGGGCCTCCTCTACTCCTCGGTCCTCTGTTCCCCTCGGTTCCCTCGCCTCAGCCTCCTCTGCCCCACCTGCTCCTTGGTCCTCCGTGCCCGCGTTTCCCAGCATCCACCTCTCCTTCACCTCCACTCCCTCAGCCCCTTGTCCCTTAATAAAACTGAGCGTTGTGTTTGGGTCCGTTCTTTCCTGACTCATAACAGAACAATTAAGCCCCTATGGACTCAGCACTGCCTGTCACGCGTCCTGCCTCCTGTCTGCTTGAGCCCCCGGTAATCCTACTCAGCCTGTCCCGCCATCCATCCCCATTGACCTGTCCTGGGTCCCCAGCGAAGACCATGACCTTGCCCTGGTGTTTGGTAAGGACCAGGGTCTGTCTCTTCCCCCCCACCGCCCCTACAAGTGCTCCATAGATCTCCTCCTGGATAATAATAATAATAATAATCATTATTTGTAGAGCACTTTTCAAAAACAAGTTACAAAGTGCTTTAACAAGTGTAAAGACAATAATACCCAAGAGACAATAATACAAAAACAATACAAGATAAAAGCATGAAAACATTGAAAAGACTAAAATACACGTTTAAGAAAAATATAAAATTAGTAAAATACAATAAAATAAAAGGGATAAAATAAAGTCAAATAAGATCGGGAAAGGCTCTCCTATAAAAGTATGTTTTAAGAAGGGACTTAAAAGAGTTCACTGACTCAGCTGACCTGATTTCCTCGGGCAGGCTGTTCCAGAGCCTCAGGGCCCTGACAGCAAACGCTCTGTCCCCTTTAGTTTTCAGTCGAGACTCTGGAACAGATAGCAGACCTCTGCCCGAGGATCTCAAGGTACGTGCTGGTGTGTATGGGACTAAAAGGTCAGAAATATAACAAGGCGAGAGGCCATGAAGAGCTTTAAAAGTAATCAATAGAATTTTAAAGTCAATTCTAAAACATACTGGGAGCCAGTGTAGTGAAGCTAAAATAGGAGTAATGTGGTCATATTTCTTTGTTCTGGTTAAAAGCCTGGCAGCTTTGGACAGTCTGGAGTTGATCAATAGATTTTTGGGTTAAACAGGTGAAAAGGCTGTGTAAAATGGTCTCGGTGTCCTTAAAAGTTAACATAGATCGAATTTTTGCTACATTTCTAAGTTGATAAAAACATGATTGAACAAGCTTTGTGGTGTGCTGCTCGAAATTTAAATTACTATCAAACCAAGGCTTAATGTGATTTACTAGCGAACCCAGCAGATGGCAGTATTTGATTTGCCATCTGCTAGGACCCAATGACCAGGATTTCTGTTTTGTCTGAGTTCAGCTGGAGGAAATTATTTGACATCCATTTTTTAACTTCACAAAGGCAGTTGTTAAGTGAACTCAGCATTCCAGGGTCTGTGGATCTGACGGGCAAGTATATTTGTGTGTCATCAGCATAAATATGAAAAGAAATGCCATGTTTATGGATAATATGTCCAAGGGGAAGCAGATACAAGGAAAACAAAATGGGTCCTAAGACCGACCCCTGAGGCACACCATATTTAACTGGACAGAACGAAGAGACATAGTTGTTTACAGACACGCAAAACTTCCTATTTGACAGGTAGGATGAAAACCATTCTAGGGCAGTAACAGAGATCCCCACCCAGTGCCTCAGTCTGTCTAACATGATGTTGTGATCAATGGTGTCAAAAGCAGCACTAAGGTCCAGGAGTACCAGGACTGAGCACATGCCTTCATCAGCAGACATTAAAAGGTCATTGGTGACTTTAAGCAGGGCAGTCTCAGTGCTGTGGCACTTCACGAAACCAGACTGAAACTTTTCAAATAATTTGTTATTTTCCAGTACAGTGAGCAGCTGTTTGGACACAATTCTTTCCAGAATCTTTGCAATAAAAGGCAGTTTTGAAATTGGTCTAAAATTATGTGGGAGGGAGGGATCTAAACCAGGTTTCTTTAAAAGTGGGTTCACGCAGGCCGTTTTAAAATAATCAGGGACACAACCAGTAGATAGGGAGCTGTTGAAAACAGAGATCAAATGGGGCCCAACAGAATCCATTACTTTCAGTAAAAACTTTGCAGGTATTACATCAAGTGGGCTGGAGGACACTCATTTGTGATACTGTTTTTAAAAGCTCAGACAAGTTGATGGGATAAAACTGGTTAAAACTGTCTTGTTGCTGGTGAGGAACCTCTGAGTAAGAGGCCACGGGTAATAGAGGCTCTGATTGACACCACCTTATTGGTAAAATAAGATAAAAACAATTCACAGTCATCATTACTTCCAGCTGAGTCACAAGGAGGGGTTGGGTTTACCAGCTGATCCACAGTCTTAAACAGAAACCTGGGATTGTGTTTATGTGTAGTAATGAGTTCAGAAAAATAGTGTGTTCTCGCATCCTTAACCATGTTATTGTAGTTAATTAATAAATCCAGACTGAGGTAATGGACATGGAGACTGGATTTTTTCCATCTGTGCTCTGCTTTCCTGCATTCCTTTTTTAGGCTGCGAATGCTGTCATTTATCCAGGGCTGCTAGCTTTAGACGTAGGCCTAACCTTTAGAGGAGCAGTAATATTTAGTGAAGACAAGCAGATGTGATTGAAGTGATCGACCAGATTGTTGGTGTTGGAATCAGACAGGTGTTGGCTTTGGCTCTGAAAGAATGTGCAAAACTTTGAAACACTTTGTTCATTAAAGATGCGAGAACACACGGAGCTTGGTGAGGCGGCATGAGTAACAGGCGAATCGCAGCTAAAAACAATACATCTGTGGTCAGATATGGTCATGTCCACTAATTCCACAGAGGAAATGCTGACACCCAGGGTAAAAACCAAGTCCAGTGTATGACCACGGTTATGGGTTTGCCCTTTGACATGTTGTTTGAAGTTAAAAGAAGTGGCCATATTTAAAAAGTCAGTTGCATTAACATTGGTGGGGTCATCAACATGAATATTAAATTTGCCACAAAGAACAATTCTGTCATAATTTAAAACCAGAGTAGATAAAAATTCAGGAAGTTCTGATAAAAATCCCCCAGGCGGTTTTGGGGGGCGATAAATTATAACAAATATGACAGGTTGCAGCCCTCCAACTTTAAGAGTGAGAACTTCAAAGGAGTTAAATTCATCACAGCGTACTTGATGACATTTAAAATTTTTCCTATACACGCTCACTAGCCCACCACCACGACCACTGACCCTCAGTTGACTAAAACAATCATATTGAGGCGGACACAGTTCAGATAGCTGGCTATAGTCATTCATTTGCAACCAGGATTCAGTTAAAAACATAAAATCTAGATTTGCAGACAAGATAAAATCATTTAAGATAAAAGTCTTACTTGACAGAGATCTCACATTGAAGAGAGCCATTTTTAATGAGTTTGTTCTAGGTGCTGGAGTTGTTGCAGTTGTCCTAATCCTTAAGAGATTACTATGATTTCTGTGTGGGATGTGCACATTTCGGTTTACTGGTCTATGCGTGATGATGAGAGGAATAGAAGTCTTTGGAACAGCGCTGGGAGCAGACAGCTTTACATGCCAGGAGGTGGAGACAGTTATTTGTGGTAGTGAGGCAGAGATCTGTTCAGTGAGCGGTGGTGTGTCCAGGTGTGCTGCATGAATGATTAGTCATTCACGTAAGTCATGTGTGGATCATGGAACATTTCTGAGCCCCGTTTGTTTGGATGAAGTTCGTCTGTCTTAAAAAGAGACATTCTTTGCCAGAAAATTTTAAAATTATCCACATAACACACACGGTGAGCCCTGCAGGCGGACTGGAGCCAGTCGTGGAGACCAAGGAGTCTACTGAAGCGGCCAGCACCGTGACCAACTGTGGGAATGGGACCAGAGATAAAAACGGACTTTCCACACTGCTTTAAAAAGTTAAAAAGACGGTTAAAATCTGATTTTTGTCAACTCAGACTGCTGAAGAGCTGTGTCATTTGTTCCGACATGGACTATCACTCTTGTGATGGAGGACGGGAGCGACGGCATCAGGTCCTGGAGTTTTTTTTAAATGTCAGTCGTGGTGGATGCGCCCCTCCTGTCCAGACACCTGTACAACCTGTTGCGCCTGGAGAGGGAGTCTATGGAGCAGTATATTAAAGACTCCCTGGCAGCCGGCATCATTCGCCCCTCCGATGTTGGGTGCCGGCTTCCTTTTTGTCGAGAAGAAAGACAAAACCCTCCGTCCCTGCATCGATTACCGGGGGCTCAACGCCATCCCTGTAAAAAATAAGTACCTTCTGCTGCTCATGGATTCGGTCTTCGCTTCCCTCTCCCGATCCACCATCTCCACCAAATTGGATTTGAGAAACTCTTACCATCTGGTGCGGACCCGGGAGGGGAATGAGTGGGAAAACTGCCTTCAACACCCCCCTTGGTCACTACGAATATTTAGTTATGCCCTTCGGTCTCACCAACGCCCCCGCCATTTTCCAAGCCCTAATCAATGACGTCCTCTGATTTCCTTCACTGCTTTGTTTTTGCCTCAACGATATCCTGATCTTCTCCCGTGACCGTGTCCTGACTCACAACACAATATATTCTTTCAATATTAAGTGTACAAACAAAAAGCTGCTAAACCATATAACCTCTGTAAGCTTTACAGGATTTTTTTTTCTTTTGCCTTTGTTTGGATTGTATTTTCTTTTTGATAACCCTTTGACCTCGGTGGCTTATTTGTGATTTGTCTGTAGACTCAACTGATGTAAAGAAGATGTTGTTTACCTGCTGTATATCTTGAATAAAGATTTGATTAAAAAAAAAAAAAATTCTAACCAGCATGCCTTATTTTAAGTCCAGCATGCATCACGTCAAGTCAGTGCTGCGCAGTTTATATAGTCAAACGCGCGTAATCCCCTGAGGTTACAGTAGGTGGCGTATGCACCTATATACGTTGGTTTGCGACCACCATTAATTCAGAGAAGAAGAAGATGACAACGGATGTCGAACTTTTTTAGCTTTCCCATGGTGTTTACCACGCTCCATGAGCAGCTCTCACAGGAAAGAACGTGACCCCCCGCCTCCGACTCTGGATCTCGTTCTGTATCCACTGTGAGGGGCTCCTGTCAGCCGCCGTTGTAAAGGTGAGTGAGTATGTAAAGAGTTAACGCTAACGCTAACGCCATTCTCCCACTCTAACAAAGTCAACGTACAGTATGTGAGCCGGGCTGCAGCACCGAGAAGGTTAACGTGTTGCTGTGCTCACGTGTTCTGCCGAGATCTGCGTGTCTCTTCCGCGTGCGCGCACAGCTAGATTATCACAGCTTTAATTATTAATAAGGTGGAATACTGTGCAGCAGCAGCAGTAGGATTTGTTTGGTTCAACAATGCATCAGCAGTTAACTTACTTCACGTTAACACTAACAGGAGTGAATATAAACTTTACAACATTTATTCAGTTAGAAGCTAACGTTACACCAAAGTACTGAGAGCTGAACACTGACTTTAACAACAGCTTTCTCTCTAGCCTCTAGCACTAGGCTCAGCTGTGCCTGGCTGTCCCTGCTGTGGGGCTGTAGTAGAAATTGTCATCAAGGCTTGTGTTGGCACAAACCCTTTGTTTTTTTCTCCTGTTAGTAGGTTTAGCCAAATGGCTTAGTGGTAATTAATTGTCCTAGATGTAACAACAAATCTGCCTGATTTCAGGTGAGCATCTCACTGATAATATTCTTTGAATTCTTTTTCCTCAGATTAAAATGCCTAAGAAAAGCAACACAAAGAATGTAAAGAGACGGAACAGTGATGAGGACCATCTCCCTCCTAAACAGAGCAGGGTAAAGCACAGCAATGTTCCATCCCCTCTGTGTTTCCATAGCCCGGTCAGCCTGTTCGAGAGCCTCATCCACCCAATGGGGACAGAACAGTTCTTCAGGGACTACTGGGAGAAGAAACCCCTCCATCTGAAGAGGTCTGATCCCAGCACAGCCTCCTACTACCAGTCTTTGTTCCAGCTGTCCGACCTGCTGAGCCTGTGTTCTCAAGGTCTGGAATACTACAGGGATATCAATGTTGTTCGCTGCATCAACGGCAAGAAAAAAGTGCTGAACAAAGAGGGGCAAGTTAAGAAAAGTGTTCTCAGTAAGAACTTGGTTCAGAATAAGGCCACCATCCAGTTCCACCAGCCGCAGAGGTTCAAGGTGAGAGTGCTGTCAGCAACGAGGAAATCATGGCTTTGTTGCCTGTGGGACAATGCTCATGTTCCCTGCATTCCTTAAAGCTGCATCAATCCATATTTTTATGTTAACAGATCAATTGACTTTCTTAATGTTAAATGGGTCACACATAGTGACAAACACACAGAGACTCTACAGTTCCCCTCAGCTCCCTCTGTACACTAGCACCAAACAGCAAATACTCTCAGTTTGCAGCTTGCTAGTGAACATAGTGGTGCATGGAGCAGTTTCTTAGAGCCGCATAGAGAGTGAATGGACTTACATTCATCAGGTGGACACAAACACAACTCCAAATGAATGCTAATGGTGCTCTGTATCTTCTGTGTGTGTAAATAGTCAATTGTATAATAGAGCCCGACCAATATAGGGGGCCGATGCTGATATTAAAGGGAAAAAGAGCTGATTTATGAGCAGAAATTCTGATTTTGAAAATGATTTGGATAATAGACCCCTTTCCTGTATTAAATACATTTAAAACAGGCCTATATTGAAAGCTGTCCTGTATGTGGGCTATAATACCTTGTCCTAAATGAATTATATTAAGAAAATAGAATACAGTCTCAACAACTGAACATGTCAACACTGCACATCAATAAATATTTGCTGCTTGTAGGTACAACCTTTTCAGCCATCTGTAAACAGAGAGCACGTGTATTTTACCTTTCACATAATCTGCCGTAATAACTACTTTCAATGTAGCATATTCACATCTAGTTTATCCCTGTACCAGCACTCTTTCAATCTATCTAAAGCTACGAGAGCCATTTCTCAACCACCATTGGGGTCTAAAACCTGGCGTCTACGATACAGTGACCTGCTGTTGAATGCATCTAATACTATGACTGTCTACAGCGAGGACTTGCAGCTTTAAGATTTCACTCAACCACAGTATAACTAAAACGTTTCACATTTGCAATAGCTAGATAACTTTGTTTGGCAGGAAGTCGTGTTAGATACTTGTTCAGCTCACATTTATTTATATATCCCCTCGGGTTTAATCATTTCTGACACATTGACTGTAACTACAGACAAAGGGCCCACAGATATATTTACAATACATTAAACGTATAGTTTAGTGGCTCATTAATGTTAATGCTCTGCCACTGATAAACACAGCATTAGCTTTGGGCTAATTTAGCAATGGGCAGCGTTAGCTGTTGTAGGCAACGTTTATAATATTTATAAGTGATGAACTAGAGAGCCACACTGTTTCAGAAAGAAATATACAATCGCATCTGTCAGCAGCGGAACTTAGCCTCCTACACTTAACTAACTTACTGTAACATTAAACATAACGTTACTGCTGTGACCCGGTAGGAAGCCGGGAGAGTGCAGTGAAAAACGGGAGGGTTAGCAAGTCATGAATGTTTTCAGGAGAGAAATGCTGGCGCTGGAGAAGTGCCAGTTTTTATTATTATTTAAGTCATGCAATTAAGGTGACGAAGGACCAACTCACCAGTAACACAGCCCAGCACATCTCCGTATTGTTTACACGTGCTCCGGTAGACTCCGGTCAACTGATTGTTTACTTTTGTATTTTTGTGGTGCTGAAGTATTTTAAACAGAGGAGCTGCACAGGGCCCTCTGGTGGGCAAACTATGCAACACTCATGACATGAGTGAAGGATCTGACTTTCTCGATGCAATTGACCCTTTGCTAAGCCACGCCCCCTTACAGTTACAGTTTGCTGCCATATTCTATTATTGCACTCCCCAGAGAAATATTGAAAAATCGATCTCCGAAAGAAGCAGACAGTTTCAGTTGCATTATACATTTGAAAGTTTTATTCAGGGTGTCAAAGCTAAAGCCTACCGATCACACAGTACAAGTGAACCACCTCATCCCCCCCGACAACTGACGCAAAAGACAACGATATAAAGGATCAACACTGTTCCTGTAAAACTGGGTAGGCCTCTATTCATTATTACAATCATTAAAAAGCAGAACAGTAGGGCTTTATTACGTTACATTCAGTAGGAAGTTAGCAAGTGTTAGCTAACTAACATCACATTAGGAACAACCCACAGCCGACATTTTCCTGGATTTATTTTAGGTTTTGGAGTATAAATCATACTTCTCCTTTCACCTTCTTTGGGTAGCAACTGTAACTATTACAAGTGCCCCAGGAACAGCGTTTGACCGTATCTTTGAAAAATACAGCAGAAGAAAGCTAGAAAACGACTCCTTTTGCATTAGAGTGAATGGAGCGCAGCCATGAAAGTGTCGGACCTCAGTTAGCGCGAGTCATATACTGCGCTGTGATTGGCCAGCTGTGTATTTGGGGCGTGGCTTAGCAAAGGGTGAATTAGCTCATATCCGTATCGTTTGGGCTCTACTGTCTAAAAGTGATAATATGCCAGTCCCCAGCTGTTTCCCAGTCCTGTACTATTGACTCATTTCAAACAGCTTTTGTCAATGTAATGAAATGTAAATGCTCTGTATTTTTATAGCACCTTTCTAGTCTTTTCGACCACTCAAAGCGCTTTTACGCTACATCTGCATTCACCAGTCACACAAATTCATTATTTGAGCCTAAGTGCTCAAACAGAAACTTACATTCACACACATTCATACACTGGCGGAACAGCCAACATTGTATGTTTTTTAGCATGCTGTTGATGTACATTATTCAATTCAATTTTATTTATATAGCGCCCAATCACAACAACAGTTATATTACAGTAGTGTAATTAGCGGCGGAAGAGTGCTTTTTATAAAAGAGCAGGTCTAGACCGCACTCTGATATTTACAGAAACTCAACAGTTCCCTCCAAGAGCAAGCACTGGGCGACAGACCTTTGAGAGGCAGAAACCTCGAGCAGAACCATGGCTCAGGGAAGGCAGTCATCTGCCTCGACCGGTTGGGGGTGAAGGAGAGAGGGAGGGCTAGAGAAGAACAGAGATGGAAGGAGAGGGAGGGGAGGGAGGCAGCTTTCACAATATACACACAGGTACAGACAGTAAAAGTAATGTTGCTCTAGACTGAATTAACAATGGTACAGATATTTATAGTAGTGTTAATGATAATTGTAGTTTTAATGATTATAATAACAACTAGAACTGCAAGCAGTTATAAGCGGTGTCCAAGCACCCGGCGCAAGCCGCCCCACCTGGCCCCGCTAAGGGTGCGTGAGTCGGCCTGGGCTGCGCGCCGAGCCTCAGGGGGCTCGTGGAGAATAAATGAGCAGAGTTATAAATGAAAGGGGATTGCGGTTACGGATATCTGAAATGGGAGTGTTATTTGATTTCCAAGTAATGGCACCAACTAGAGGCCGATTGACGCCAAATTTCACACAGCCCCTCGGGAGGGCGTGCCAGATAAGGTCCCTGAGTTTGGTGTAGATCGGGCATTGCAAACGTAAGGTCTGACATGACCTCATGTTTTTAGCGTTTGCACAAAAATTGGTGCACTGGCCCTCAGGGGGGCGTCCCACATGAATGCTCCAAATTAGGTCGGCCATTCGATCCCCCGAACGGGTAGATATAAGGTTTTTGATATCTGCCTTCATAGGCCGGAGTTCCAAGCCCAAACGCATTGACCTTGCTTATAGCGCCCCCTAGAGGTAGGCTTGTACCTACCCTATGAGTTTCGTGTCCCTAGCAGTTACGGTCTGGGCTGCAGTAGTGTAATTAGCGGCGGAAGAAAAAAATAAAAAGGAGAACGATTACAATAGGGTTCCCAGCTCCGCTGGTACTGGGAACTGCGATGTCTTGCATTCGTGGGTTCCCAGCCCACTCGGCTTGGACCCCTAATAGTAACAATAGGACTAGTAACAATAATTGTGGCAGAGCGTGTCGAGCAGGAACACGGGGGCAGCAGGCGACTCGCAACCACAGATCCAGACTCCACAGCTCCAGAGCCATTTTAAAGAGCTCATAGTACCTTACTACCCCACCAGAGCACTGCGCTCCCAGAATGCAGGGTTACTTGTGGTTCCTAGAGTCTCCAAAAGTAGACTAGGAGCCAGAGCGTTCAGCTATCAAGCTCCTCTCCTGTGGAACCAGGTTCCATTTTGGGTTCAGGAGGCACACACCATCTCCACATTTGAGAGTAGGCTTAAGACTTTCCTCTTTGATAAAGCTTATAGTTAGGGCTGGCTCAGGTGAGTCCTGAACCATCCCTTAGTTATGCTGCTATATTATTTGCAGGCATGCTTGCAGACATTGTCTGATGGCAGTTTTGTATACATCACCCAATATACAGGTGCTGGTCATATAATTAGAATATCATCAAAAAGTATAAATGAGATTTATTATTAAGATTTATTTCAGTAATTCCATTCAAAAAGTGAAACTTGGATATTATATTCATTCATTACACACAGACTGATATATTTCAAGTGTTTAATTTAATTGTGATGATCAAAACTGACAACTAATGAAAATCCCAAATTCAGTATCTCCGAAAATTAGAATATTACTGAAGACCAATACAAAAAAAGGATTTTTAGAAATGTTGGCCAACTGAAAAGTATGAACATGAAAAGTATGAGCATGTACAGCACTCAATACTTAGTTGGGGCTCCTTTGGCCTGAATTACTGCAGCAATGCGGCGTGGCATGGAGTCCATCAGTCTGTGGCACTGCTCAGGTGTTATGAGGGCCCAGGTTGCTCTGATAGTGGCCTTCAGCTCTTCTGCATAGTTGGTTCTGGCGTATCGCATCTTCCTCTTCACAATACCCCATAGATTTTCTATAGGGTTAAGGTCAGGCCAGTTTGCTGGCCAATTAAGAACAGGGATACCATGGTCCTTAAACCAGGTACTGGTAGCTTTGGCACTGTGTGCAGGTGCCAAGTCCTGTTGGAAAATGAAATCTGCATCTCCATAAAGTTGGTCAGCAGCAGGAAGCATGAAGTGCTCTAAAACTTCCTGGTAGACGACTGCGTTGACCTTGGACCTCAGAAAACACAGTGGACCAACACCAGCAGATGACATGGCACCCCAAACCATCACTGACTGTGGAAACTTTACACTGGACTTCAAGCAACGTGGATTCTGTGCCTCTCCTCTCTTCCTCCAAACTCTGGGACCTTGATTTCCAAAGGAAATGCAAAATTTACTTTCATCAGAGAACATAACTTTGGACCACTCAGCAGCAGTCCAGTCCTTTTTGTTTTTAGCCCAGGCGAGACGCTTCTGTCTTGTTCAAGAGTGGCTTGACACAAGGAATGCGACAGCTGAAACCCATGTCTTGCATACGTCTGTGCGTGGTGGTTCTTGAAGCACTGACTCCAGCTGCAGTCCACTCTTTGTGAATCTCCCCCACATTTTTGAATGGGTTTTGTTTCACAATCCTCTCCAGGGTGCTGTTATCCCTATTGCTTGTACAGTTGTTTCTACCACATCTTTTCCTTCCCTTCACCTCTCTATTAATGTGCTTGGACACAGAGCTCTGTGAACAGCCAGCCTCTTTAGCAATGACCTTTTGTGTCTTGCCCTCCTTGGGCAAGGTGTCAATGGTCGTCTTTTGGGCAGCTGTCAAGTCAGCAGTCTTCCACATGATTGTGTAGCCTACAGAACTAGACTGAGAGATCATTTAAAGGCCTTTGCAGGTGTTTTGAGTTGATCAGCTGGTTAGAGTGTGGCACCAGGTGTCTTCAATATTGAACATTTTCACAATATTCTAATTTTCTGAGATACTGATTTTGGGGTTTTCATTAGTTGTCAGTTATAATCATCAAAATTAAAAGGAATGAACACTTGAAATATATCAGTCTGTGTGGAATGAATGTATACATTATACAAGTTCCACTTTTTGAATGGAATTACTGAAATAAATCAACTTTTTGATGATATTCTAATTATATGACCAGCACCTGTAGTGTGGAATTGAGGCATGTTGTGCTGTTCCACTGCCCCTAACTGGCCAAAGTCATGAATGCAGCTGTACAATTCTCAGGGAGTACTCTGCATCCCATGCTTGTAACCCTTTTAGATTCATTGACGCAACAACAGCAGCAAGTCATTGTGGGTTTTTGATTGTGTTTATTTTGACACTTGGTATCTGTCAATGTTTTGATACTATGCAGAAAGACCTTTTATCATGTATTAAGAATGGCAAAGCTTTTACCCTTCTCCTGACAATAAGCTGCAGGTGAATTCTGATTTTTCTATTTTTGTGACAGGAATTATCTGATCAAAGAATAGGATAGCAAGATTTTGAATCTGCTAAAACATTCATTGCCAAATTTCACAAGATCTCAGTGAACTTTAAACTTGCTTTGTCTGTGGGGATGGCAGAGCCAATTTGTACATCAGCAAAGATCATATGGTCTTTGAGAAGTCATGATTCATCTGTCAATAATGTTTTGTGTGTGTGTGTGTGTGTGTGTCAGGATGAACTGTGGAGGATCCAAGAGAAGCTGGAGTGTTTCTTTGGAGCCTTGGTGGGGTCTAACATCTACATCACACCTCAGGAGTCCCAGGGCCTTCCTGCTCACTATGACGATGTTGAGGTACAACAATAAATTCATGACTGAACTCATTCAACAGCAAAAGCTGCTTCATATTTATGGCACAAAGATGACACACTAATGGCAGTGTAGAAACACTTATTATGCAGAATGGGCCCCGTCACCATACGATACACCTGAAATCAGCAGATTTTATTTACTGTTATATATATATTTTTTCCCCAGAATTTTCTCAACAACATTTTGACTATTGTAAGTTAGTCCCCGTTCATTTGCAGATCAGTGATAACAAGAAGCCTCATAAACCTGAATGAGGAAGTTCTGATAGGTGACCTCTCTGTAGACAAACATACCAGACTGGAACTTAATGTCGGCAGGAAAAGGGAGAGTGGAGAGGAATGGAATGAGGAGTGACATGAGCTATTTTTGGCTGCCTTACATTAGTTGAGTAAATGTACTTAGTAACTTTCCACCACAAACTCATCTCAAAATTTTTGAAAAATGGAATTATACTGAGCTTTCAAAAATGTACATTGTTTCAAACGTGAAAGAACTTTGACAAGAGTGCTGCAACTCTACATTCAGCTGTTTAATTTCAGTTGCAGTTTCTCAGTTTAGAACCTTTAGTGCAATGAAAGTAAGTTGGTAAATAGGGACCCAGCAGACAGCAGGTACCAACTCTCAGTAACATGCCTCTTTGCCCAGGTGTTTATTCTGCAGCTGGAGGGACAGAAACATTGGCTTCTCTACAGTCCTACTGTTCCTCTGGCAGCAGAGTACAGCGTGGAGTCAGAGGACAGGATCGGCAGCCCAACCCATGATATTACACTGAAGGTACAACATGTGTCTGTGTATATGTGTATGTATATGTCTATGTGTGGCTTCAGATCTAAGCTCACACTCTGACACTGAAATATTTCCCTTGTGCAGATAACAGTCAAACAGCTGCACACTTATCTCTCAGCATGTGAAAATTCTTGATGAGAGATTTAGTCACCGTTGTTCATTGGAATCTTTTGTGCAGTTTGACTGGGTCCATGACCCTTGGAGTTCATGTGCACTGGAAAGCTCCATAGACATGCCCCTGTGCTAACAGTGGCAACTGGCAAAAACCAGGGAAGATTGCACATTGAAAATAAAATTTCAAGACATGGCTTTGGACAGGTTTTGGCTATTGCTAAAGAAGTAGTACCCAGTAGTTTCAAGTAGCGCCATTGCAATTCTGCTACCTTTCTGTACGATGTATTTTTGTGAGCTAAGATTTTCAAGCCTAACTTACATCTTACTCATGCCGCCTCACCAAGCTCCGTGTGTTCTCGCATCTTTAATGAACAAAGTGTTTCAAAGTTTTGCACATTCTTTCAGAGCCAAAGCCAACACCTGTCTGATTCCAACACCAACAATCTGGTCGATCACTTCAATCATATCTGCTTGTCTTCACTAAATATTACTGCTCCTCTAAAGGTTAGGCCTACGTCTAAAGCTAGTAAGCAACCCTGGATAAATGACAGCATTCGCAGCCTCAAAAGGGAATGCAGGAAAGCAGAGCGCAGATGGAAAAAATCCAATCTCTAAGTCCATTACCTCAGTCTGAAGGATTTATTAATTAACTACAATAACATGGTTAAGGATGCGAGAACACACTATTTTTCTGAACTCATTACTACACATAAACACAATCCCAGGTTTCTGTTAAAGACTGTGGATCAGCTGGTAAACCCAACCCCTCCTTGTGACTCAGCTGGAAGTAATGATGACTGTGAATTGTTTTTATCTTATTTTACCAATAAGGTGGTGTCAATCAGAGCCTCTATTACCCCCGCGGCCTCTTACTCAGAGGTTCCTCACCAGCAACAAGAGAGTTTTAACCAGTTTTATCCCATCGACTTGTCTGAGCTTTTAAAAACAGTTTTACAAATGAGTGTCCTCCAGCTCACTTGATGTAATACCTACAAAGTTTTTACTGAAAGTAATGGATTCTGTTGGGCCCCATTTGATCTCTGTTTTCAACAGCTCCCTATCTACTGGTTGTGTCCCTGATTATTTTAAAACGGCTTGCGTGAACCCACTTTTAAAGAAACCTGTTTTAGATCCCTCCCTCCCACAAAAGTTTACACCAAAACAGCCTTTTATTGCAAAGATTTCAGAAAGAATTGTGTCCGAACAGCTGCTCACTGTACTGGAAAATAACAAAATATTTGGAAAGTTTCGGTCTGGTTTCAGTAAGTGCCACAGCACTGAGACTGCCCTGCTTAAAGTCACCAATGACCTTTTAATGTCTGAAGGTATGTGCTCAATCCTGGTACTCCTGGACCTTAGTGCTGCTTTTGACACCATTGATCAAATGCTAGATATCTGGCAGACGTCGGTGATGTGTAATCAATGCGTCAGGGAGCCGTTTTGACGCGTCGTTGAGTAGTTCACACATAACGATATCGCTGATTTACCCCTGATCACAGCCCGATGGTTGCTGAGTTCGCAGACTGGCAAATTTGGGCTAAAAATCGTGTAGTGTGAACGAGGCTTAAATTTCCTCTGCCTGGAGATACTTGGGAAATGCAAACGCATCCATAGGTTGATGGATGAGGATCAAACACCGAAACACATAGACTGCAGCACATGCTGTAATCTTAGAAACATTCGCTGCAGAATCCATTTGTTGAAGAGAGGAAAAATAAATTGTCCCGAGGTGAGAGTCCAGCGCTTTACTGACTGAGCTAACCGAACAACATAACAATAGCATCAAATAATTATGGCTTATATTCTCACCCACCATCTCATGGTTGAAAATATTGCTCTGGTGCAAAACGTATTTGCCAACCCCTGCAGTATTTTATTACTACTACTACTTCTTCTAACGGACGTATTCAACGTAGTGATGAGTGTCTACACTGCCTGAAATCTACTAGAAGTAGAACAAGAAGAACGTGTGTCCGTTTTCAGCTACTGTAGTAACATGACGACGCAACGTGCCGACGTCCATGGAAGGGGGGACCTGGGCTTTTGTAGCTAGAAATGATTCATTCTAAGGTAATAAAAACATAACGGTGAACCGTTATGTAAGGTCTTTATACACCATGTATGTAAGGTCTTTATACACCACTGAAAACATAGTTATGGATCGTAAATTGCATTTCTGTCAATAGATCATCAGAAATATTACACACTGAACCTTTAATACTAAGTCACATTTATAACCACTTTTGGTGCGTGTTGGCTGTCAGAGGGATGCAGAAGGTACATTTTTAATACATTTCAGACTGGGGTGACTCGAGATTTTGCATACTTGTGTGCCATGACCAAAAAAATGTTGAGAAACGCTGGTGTAGGTCACATTGTGTCCGTTAATAAGTAGTAGTAATAAGAGTCTGTCTGTTGTTTGCTGGAAAGTGAAGCCGGTTTGCTCTAGCTAACATCCGCTCTCAGGATTAAAAACCCAAATTACCAACATGGGAATAATATATAATATTACGTCGGTTAGAGGTTCTGGATTTCTGTTTCAGTTACTTTTCAATTAATCGTCCAGCCCTAATTGCAACCCTAGTGTGTAAATACTGTATGTGTGTATATACAGTATTTGAATATCAGTGTTGGGCAAGTTACTCAGACATTGTAATAAGTTACCAGTTACTTATTACTCAAAGTAATATTACTTATTACTGGGTGATAAAAGTAACTAGTTATGTTACTCATTACGTTACTATTACTTTCACTACTGCTTTGCGACTGTGACACAATAACGGCAGTAACGTTACTTACAGCTGTCGAAAGAACACCTCTGTCCCTCCATTCTTTCTTCAGCCAAAAAGCTGAAGAAAGGATGGAGAACAGCTGACTTGAACAACATATGATCCGGTGCCGCTGACCCGCAACGCAGTGGTGCATTCACGTCAAGGATGGTACGTGCAGTAACGCAGCGTTACTTGGTTTAGTAACTGTAATAGTATTACTGTTTTGGAAATAGTCATCTGTTACACTACCAGTTACTGGGAAAAGTAATATTATTACAGTAATAATTTTAATTATGCGTTACTCCAAGAGTTAGGTGTTTCTGAGTCATTTTCTCGCTCCACAGGCAGGAGATCTTCTGTACTTCCCCAGAGGAACCATCCATCAGGCGAAAACTCCGCCAGAAGAAGACCACTCCACTCACTTGACTCTCAGCACCTACCAAAAAATGTAAGAGCTCCTTTTCTCTGAAGTCTTCACTTCAACACTGTCTACACAGGAGGCATAGTGGAAGCAGCATGTTAGCAAAGCAGCAGCAGCAGCTACATTCCTCCGTTTGTCTGTACAGGGTGCATTCAGGCACAGTGTGAGTGTAGGTCACCCGTGTTATGGCAGCGCCCAGAGCCCAACACACTGTCACTGTAGTTATGCTCTTAAAACAGGAGGGAAAGCATTTTTTAAAAAAGCTTTGCGAGGTGTTAATGTAGGTCTAGCACAAGTGAAATGGAATGTTCTTAAAATCACAATGTAGTCGCTTGGTCCCATGGGGTTACTCATTCCATCCTCTGTTGATGTCCTATTTAAACAGTAATAGATTCTGGAAACTCACAAACAGCGAGGATCAGTCTCTCTTCCAATCATTTGTGTTGCATACAAAAAGTTCAAGACAGTTCAACTTCGGTGGCGGGCGTTTGTGGGAGGCGTCCACTTCACCTCATTCTGACAGGGACACATGCTACTTAACACAGACTGTTTATGCTGCCCTCTGATACAAGAAAACAGATTTATATATGTTAACCTGTTACTCAGAAGGTGCCTGTTATGATGTTCTGATCTTGACTCTGGACTCTAACTTGTTTTAACAAGCTAGATAAAAGGTCAGTGGCAAATATCTTTGGTTTTATATTTGATTTGAATACAGTAATGTTTAAGTTGAGATTTACAATATTTTATTGCTTCTGTGTAAAGGGAATACTGCTGGTAAAAAGCACCTTATCTGTTTAAAGTATTTGCAAACCACATGCTATTGCACTTTTGTGTGGGACAAGTTAGCGCATGAAAAAACGTTACTGAAGGATAATAATAAAGGTTAGCAATAACATAGGATGCGAATGCTTGCAGCATTCACACCCAACAATGTTGTTGAGAATTCAGTGCCATAGACCAAGGCAAGCGTCATTATCCAATCCCATTAAAAACTCTATTCTACTGCATACCTGCCAAAGTGCTCCTTGTTCTCATCACTAATGTCTGCATCTCCCTCATTTGTGTTGCTGTAAAGATCAATTCAATTTCAATTTTATTTATATAGCGCCAAATCACAACAACAGTTATCTCACAGCGCTTTTCATAAAAGAGCAGGTCTAGACCGTACTCTGTGATGATATTTACAAAAGCCCAACAGTTCCCACCAAGAGCAAGCACTAGGCGACAGAGGCAAGGAAAAACTTCCTTTTAAGAGGCAGAAACCTCGAGCAGAACCATGGCTCAGGGAGGGCGGCCATCTGCCTCGACCGGTTGGGGGGGGGGAGAGAGACTACACAATATACACACAGAGGTACAGACAGTGAAGGTGATGTTGCTATAGACTAAATGAAAAATGGTACAGATATTTATAATAGTGTTAATGGTAACAATCGTAATGTTAATGATTATAATAACAATAATAACAATAAGACTAGCAACAATAGTCGTTGCAGCAGAGGGTGTCGAGCAGGAACACGGGGGCAGCAGGTGACCCGCAACCACAGATCCAGACTCCACAGCTCCAGAGCCAGAAAACCTGCAGGAAGTGATAGGAGAGAGGACAGAGACGAGAAAGCACAAGACTACCAGAAAGGGGAGAAGTTGTGTTAGTAACATGCAATAATGGGATAAGGTTGCATACAGAGGGAGAGAAAGTAGAGGAGAGAGGAGCTCAGTGCATCATGGGAAATCCCCCGGCAGTCTAGGCCTATAGCAGCATAACTAAGGGATGGTTCAGGACTAACCTGAGCCAGTCCTAACTATATGCTTTATCAAAGAGGAAAGTCTTAAGCCTACTCTTAAATGTGGAGATGGTGTGTGCCTCCTGAACCCAAACTGGAACCTGGTTCCACAGGAGAGGAGCTTGATAGCTGAACGCTCTGGCTCCTAGTCTACTTTTGGAGACTCTAGAAACCACAAGTAACCCTGCATTCTGGGAGCGCAGTGCTCTGGTGGGGTAGTAAGGTACTATGAGCTCTTTAAGATAAGATGGTGCCTGACCATTAAGAGCTTTGTAGGTAAGAAGAATGATTTTAAATTCTATTCTGGATTTTACTGGAAGCCAATGCAAAGAAGCTAAAACAGGAGAAATGTGATCTCTTTTCCTGGTTCCTGTCAGAACACGTGCTGCAGCATTCTGGATCAGCTGAAGAGTCTTAATGGACTTTTTCGAGCAGCCTGATAATAAGGAATTGCAGTAATCCAGCCTAGAAGTAACAAATGCATGGTCTAGTTTTTCTGCATCATTTTTAGACAGGATGTTCCTGATTTTCGCAATATTACGTAGGTGAAAAAAGGCGGTCCTTGAAATTTGCTTAATGTGAGACTTAAACGACATGTCCTGATCAAAGATAACGCCAAGATTCCTCACAGTGGTGCTGGAGGCCAGGGCGATGCCATCCAGGGAAACTATATCTTTAGATAATGCGTCACGGAGGTGCTTGGGCCCCAGAGCAATAACTTCAGTTTTATCTGAGTTTAACATGAGAAAATTACAGGTCATCCAGGTTTTAACATCCTGAAGGCACATTTGAAGTTTAGCTAACTGATGAGTTTCATCTGGCTTGATCGATAGATATAACTGAGTATCATCTGCATAACAATGAAAGCTTATGGAATGTTTCCTGATAATATTGCCTAAAGGAAGCATATATAAAGTGAAGAGGATTGGTCTGAGGACAGATCCTTGAGGAACTCCATGACTAACTTTGGCATGCATGGAGGACTCATCGTTAACATGTACAAACTGAAATCGATCTGATAAATAGGACTTAAACCAGCTTAGAGCGGTTCCTTTAATGCCAATGAAATATTCCAGTCTCTGCAATAGGATCTGATGGTCAATGGTATCAAATGCAGCACTAAGATCTAATAAAACCAGTACAGAGACAAGTCCTTTGTCTGATGCAATAAGAAGGTCGTTAGTAATTTTCACCAGTGCTGTCTCTGTGCTATGATGAGCTCTAAATCCTGACTGAAAATCCTCAAATAAACTATTGCTCTGTAGAAAGTCACACAGCTGTTTAGCAACTGCTTTCTCCAGAACCTTAGAGAGAAATGGAAGGTTAGATATAGGTCTATAGTTGGCTAAAACATCTGGATCAAGTTTGGGCTTTTTCAGAAGAGGTTTAATTACAGCTACTTTAAAGTACTGTGGTACATAGCCTGTTGATAAAGATAGATTGATCATATCTAGTATAGAGGTGCTGACTAAGGGTAAAACATCTTTAAGCAGCCTAGTCGGGATGGGGTCTAAGAGGCAGGTTGATGGTTTAGATCAGAGGTCACTAATAGGCGGACCGCGGTCCGGATCCGGACCCAGCTGCCGTCCTCTCCGGACCGCCGACCTACAGCACATTTATTATTGAGACTTACTACCTCGTGACGGAGCGTTTCTATTTTAACCCGCACAGCTTTTCTAGCATTTACTGTACTGGTTTAGAGGACCAGGAAACTCACAGACCAATCGCATGTGCTCCAATCGTCTCATGTGACGCTGCTCAGCCAATCAAATCTGTGCATACCGATGCTTGCGAGTCGAGTCCGCGAGATTCACCAGAAACGTTTTGGAAACACACCCGAATTGAGGAGACGAAAGATAAGAGATTTCACATGACTTTTAATCAAGAATGTACAGATTTTTACATGTACATTCCTCCCAGGGGCAGTTCAAAACCAGAATATCTCATAGATCTCCAATATGCTAGCTGGAGCTCACGTTTCTCACTGAACAACAGAAAGTAGGAAAGTGGTAGCTCTGTAAGAGGAAATGAAAGAGAAGAGGAGGCATTACAGCTGTTCATTTGTTATGATGGGTTTGAGTGTTTATTATAAAATTGGTTAAGACTACACTTCATCACTTCAAGCTACACTTTTTATTACATTTTTTCTAAAAATTAGGCACTTTAGTTTACTTAAATTTTGAATTTATTATTTGAATAGTTATTATTTATTATCCCTCCAGTTTGATGTGAAAACTGACTGAAATATTATTTGATTTGACAGTCCGTTGTTGACTAAAAACATGTGTTGATACAACTATAGGTTATAGTACTGAATGATAACGCAAGTTCGTCGTTTTGATGTTCCGGACCTTTGCTTCAGGAAATTTTCTCTAACTAGACCTCTTTGAAATCTAATTGAATACCCCTGGTTTAGGTGAAGAAATTATTGAAGTTAGTTGGTAAAGATTGAGGGAAGCAAAACAGTCTAAACATGTATCTGGTTCTACAGCTGTTTCTAAGGTTCCTGAGTTAAGAGATAAGTCGTGCCAGTTGAGGGCAGGTCTTGGTGAATTTTGTCTCTAATAGCTAGAATTTTATCATTAAAGAAGCTCATGTAATCGTAACTACTGAGAGCTATGGGAATACTTGTCTCAATAGAGCTGTGACTCTCTGTCAGCCTGGCTACAGTGCTGAAAAGAAACCTATTTTCCTCTATTAATGACGAGTAGTACACTGCTCTAGCATTACGGAGGGCCTTCCTATAAGTTTTAAGACTATCTTGCCAAATTAAACGAGAATTTTCCACTTTGGTTTCCGCGATATTTGCTTTAATTTGCGAGTTTCAGTATTATACCATGGAGCTAACCGTCTTTGTTTTAGTATTTTCTTTTTTAGAGGGGCTACAGAGTCGAGTGTCATTCGCAGCGAGCCTGCAGCACTATCAACAAGATGATCGATTTGGGAGGGACTGAAACTAGCATAGGAGTCCTCCGTTACTTTGTGACTAGATAATGTATTTAGAGCTGATGGAATCGCATCCTTAAATTTAGCTACAGCACTATCAGACAGACATCTTGTATAGAAATTTTTGCCCAATGGCGAGTAGTTCAGCAATACAAACTCAAAAGTTATCAAACAGTGGTCGGACAAAGAGGGATTCTGTGGGAACACCACTAAATGTTCAATTTCAATACCATACACCAAAACAAGGTCGAGGGTGTGGTTAAAACAGTGAGTCGGTTCATGAACACTCTGAGAGAAGCCAATGGAATCTAACAGAGAGATAAACGCAGTACTAAAGCTGTCATTCTCAACATCCACATGAATATTAAAATCCCCTACAATAATAACTTTGTCCGTTTTAAGGACTAAAGTTGACAAAAACTCTGCAAATTCAGATAAGAATTCAGAATACGGGCCAGGTGCTCGGTACGCTATAACGAAGAGAATTGGTTGCAGTGATTTCCAACTTGGGTGCGAAAGACTAAGAACAAGGCCCAGCCAGGTTTCAGTAAGACAAAATAAATCAATATCATAATCTGATTAGTTCATTTACTAGTACACCTTTAGAAGAGAGAGATCTGATGTTTAAGAGTCCACATTTAACTCTCCTATTCGTTTGCACTATTGTTTTTATGCACAGCTCCTCTTCTGTTTACCTTTTTAAATAATTTCGATGGTCGGGGGACAGACACCGTCACTATAGGATTTTCACTAAGTAACTCCTGAAATGGAGGAGCAGAGAAGTGTGTTAGACTGCGACTCTGCGTAGGGTTTTGGGTGGGTAACTGCTGAAAAAGAAGGGCAGAGAAGTGTGTTAAACTGCGACTCTGCCTCCTGGTCTCAACTCTGGGTTGTCATGGATTTGGTCCACTAATAAACTTGGCCAGATTTCTAGAAATGAGAGCTGCTCCTTCCCAAGTGGGAGGGATGCCGTCTCTCCGGATCAGACCAGGTCTTCCCCAGAAAGTCTGCCAATGATCAACAAAGCCCACATCGTTTGCTGGACACCACCTCGACAACCAGCGGCGGAATGACGACATGCGGCTATACATGTCATCACTGGTCAGATTTGGCAGGGGTCCAGAGAAAACTACGGTGTCCGACATTGTTTTTGCATATGTACACACCGACTCAACATTAATTGATGACCTCCGATTGGCGTAACCGGGAGTCATAACCGCCGACGTGAATAACAATCTTACTGTATTTACGTTTATCCTTAGCCTGCAGTTTCAAATAAGACTCATTGTCGCCCGCTCTGGCTCCAGGGATGCACTTAACTATGGCCGCTGGCTTCGCTAACTTCACGTTTCTCAAAATGGAGCTGCCAATGATCAGAGTTGGTTTCTCAGCGGGTGTGTCGCTGAGTGGGGAAAATCTGTTAGAAACGTGAACAGGTTGATGGTGCCCCGTGGACTTTGAATGCTTATGACTATTCCTCCTTCGGACAGTCACCCAACCCCCCCCCCCTTTCCTGGCTGCACAGGAGATGCCGGGGGACGGCTACCACAGGCTAACTCAGGCCGTTCCGCACCGACTACCGGGGACTGGCTAGCTACAGTAGCTAAAGACTGATCTACCAAGGTGCGGAGCCGGACTCTTTGATGAGAACAGATCATGTAAAACATTTTACTGGTAATTCTTAAAACCTAAATCTTAAGAAGAAACAGAATGAATTGATGTAGCACTGCAGTTTGCTCATCTTACACTCCAAATGTGATGGCTGGACATCACTGGATGCCTGTAAAACATTACTGGGTCATTCACATCAAATATATTGGAAATAAAATCATAAATGTATGGCTCAATAATATGAAATACTATGTATGATCTCTTCATTTGTATTGTATCGCTTACCACTTCATCATCCAAGTTGATAATGTCATCATCACAGTGGGTCTATAACATTAAATATCAAGACTGATGACTTACAAAAAACAATAGCTCTAAACGGTGCTTTTTAGCAATTTTGGGTTAAGCTGACAGGGACACTGTTAACATCCAGTAGTTGCTGTGATATTTAAGAAATGACACAATGACGACACCAACCTGTACATCAAATAAGGAGAATGAACATCAATTTTACAGTTTCACATCAGCAAAGCCATACCTCAACCTTGACTTTAGACTGGATACATGTCTTGACATGGAGCTGCAGGGGCACATACTCCTGGCATGACACACACCGGGCATGGCCTGGAACTCCAGAGCTGTGAAGGGTAGGGGAGAAATGTCCAGTGTGTTCTGGATGGGCATAATGTATAAGACAGCCCTTGCCTCCACGGCTCTTTACAAGGCTGGCCCCTGTGTATCCATCCTCTTCAGGTGTCAACAAGTTGAGTTTCCATTGACCTGATCCTCCTGTTTAAGTTCAAATATTAAACAAATATTTATTTTCTGCCCCTTGTTGGAAGAATCATACTTTTCAAAAATGACAACTTTATAACAAACAAAAATTCAATAAATTTCCTTTGCTTGGAGACAAAAAGTCTACTTCAATCTCTTGCTTTTTACCCATGGCTTTGTGCAGCATCCAGGCACCCTCCAGTTCTGACATCTGCGGATATGTCTCAGAAAGAATGTGTGTAATCTATGAATTTAAAGCATGTAAGTAAGATTAGCAAATATATATCAAATCAATGAGCTTAAGACAAATCTGTACATTAGACTTATTGGCAGCATTCCAAGAATAAATGAAATGGTTTTGGTGGCTAAGATTGGGGCTACTGTTTTCACTGGATATGCTGTTTTAGTATAGGTTAACGATATTTTTGTTCAAATTTCAGTTCTTAATTCATTAAGTGTCATACAACATGCCTCATTATGGCCAGCATCCTCTGGGACAGTTACAGTCCTTCTTCCTAACCCAGCTTGTAGAAGCATTAGCTCATCAGATGGTTTGGGGGTTCTTTCTGTTGGGCTGTCCAGAAGAAAGAATTCGATTGGTGTTATGATGCCGGACCTTTTTTTGGACAATCGCGAAGGAATGCTCCGTACTTGTATAGCGCCTTTCTAGTCTTTTCGACCACTCAAAGTGCTTTTACACTACATCTGCATTCACCAGTCACACATTCATACACTGAGCCTAAGTGCTCAAACGGAAACTAACATTGCCCAAGGACACTTCGACACGCAGTCAGGGGGAGCCAGGGATTGAACCGCCGCCCTTCCGATTAACGGCCCATCCCGCTCTACCTCCTGAGCCACAGCCGCCCCGGACACAGCCGCACAGCCGAAGGAGGCCTACACTTCAAATTAATTTAAATCAACAGTCAAACAACTGTGCGAGGAACTGAAGAGGGCTGTTGTTGAAACATCTGAGATGCATCCTTTGAACAACATCCAAACCTGGCCCTATTCTGTTGAACTGCAGTCCCTGAAGGTGCCATTCCACGCACTGCATTGTGCTGTTGTGGTTCCTGGGATGTGTCCTGCCTGGATGCTACTTCCATAACGAATGCAATAAGTTGTTCCAAAAAGAGAATTTATATATTGTTAAATATATATAAGGAAAGCAACATAATGTAATCAAACCACACATGTTGTCTAGAGCTGGCAACCTAGTAAAGATGGTTACTCATGATACATACTGTTTGGTGTTGGATTATTCAATGTAGCTCTCAGTCTAGCCACCAAATCGAGGGCCATATTGAGCAAATTATCCTAGAGTATGGGGAGAAATAATGAAATGTAACTGAAACAAACACCACAACAAATTTACTACTTTAATGTAATAAAAATTTTAGAAAATGGTTCACCTCCTCTTTTGCGTCCGCCATTTTCTCTTGACATCTAACATATATGCAGGACAATGGGCTGGATCCACACAATACAATAAGGGACTATGTGAATATAAGTTACCAAACATTCAAAATAGTTGCATATTGTAACAGTATTTTACTGCACTGGATGTTAGCCTGCAAAATCCAATGCATTAAACCAACGTCAATAAGAATAGCAATTTGACGTGAAAAAATAATGTTATGATTCAGTAAGCCTAACGTTAGTTGTCTAAGATCCTGTTTAATACAGTGGGTTTTAAAATGAGTCATGGGTGTCACAAGTGTTGGCTAAGGAGTTAGCTACAGAACAGATAGGCTAGCTAACATTAACGTTACGTTACTTGTTGCTCAAAAATATGTAACGTTAATGTTAAATACCTTAACAAAACTTAGGCTACATCGTTCACAAATATGTACATTGATGGTAATTAATTTAATTATGATCTGCGCAGCATTTTGTATATTAGAAATATTAGAAAACTCATTCTAATTCATTGACTAACCCCACTGTTCTTCGGCGGTAAATTACCCCAACCCCGTGCTTCCTGGACCAAGAGTCAATCAAGGTACAAGGATATTTAATGGTTTGTGATTATGATGATTGACCAATCATGAGAGGGTCAGTGCCCTCCTTGGTTCCTGCCCCCAAATTGTCAAAAGTCACGTAGACTAGAGTGAGCAGAATCAGCTTGCTCGCAGGTGCCTGTACATCTCTCAGTTGTTGAATTTGTGCGCGAGTACTTCTATCATGACAGCTGAAGGTTCATTTTGCGCGTATGAAATAACACAATGTGCTCGTGATCAGTTACACACTGATTTGATTAGTGAGGGCCACCGTAGCGGCTTATGTACTTCCTCCTACAACCTGGATTGATCTGTACAGACGAGGACCAGCAGGTAGATGGCAGTGTGAAAATAAACTGGGAAATTGTTGGGTATTGTGCATGAGTGTCACATTATTTATCTGATACTCTCTCACCTGTCATCCCTACCTATCCTTTACTCAGGTCATGGGGAGATCTTCTTTTGGACATATTTCCCAGTTTGCTGTGTGACAAGAGCAGGACCCAGCTCAGCCTGAGAGAGGGCATGCCCAGAAGACTCTTACTGGTAAAGCTGTTTGGATTACTGATGCAACTAAAAATGATACTTTCCACATCACTATAAGTTGATTAATCTAACAATAATTTTTTTGATTAGTTGATTAATCTCGACTAATTTTGTGTATTCTAAAAAAAATGTTGCCTATTACTTGATTAACATACCAATTTATCCAAAATAAATATCAAAAACATGTCTAATTAATAAATCAATATTTTATTCAATCATCCAGATGAAGCACATTAGAATAATGACAATAGCAGCCTATCTTAAAATGAATCAAATTTCCAACATACATTAATTGGGGTACTTTACTTAAAGGAGCTATATGTAAGTTTTTGATATTAATAAATAAAATTTTCATTGCCTTATTGTCAGTGGGCTCAAAATTCACTTAGAAATGAAGCACATGCCTGTTTTTGTGTTTTAAAGATATCTATCAATAAAAGTCAGCATTTTAACAATTAATATTGCCAAAATATGGAAATTTGCCTGGTATATTTGAAAATGTTGTATGATAACTGTTGTATTTTAGTTTATTTTCATCAGATTTACAGTTACAATTGCATTCTAGGTGTATTAGAAGATATTCAGTTGCATTAAAAGCTAACTCAGGATGGTTTTGATGGTTTATTGCATCAAAATATAGCTTTTTTTTTACCAGGCGAGGCTAAAAATTTCAGATTTTTTTCTTTATTGCATCTCCATGTAATCTGTAAAAGTAAAATAAATATATTAATACACAATGGATTCATATTCCTTAGCTTCTGACTTTTCAAAGGAGACCAGAATTATGCATCTAGGCCAAATGGTTGAGTTATTCCTGATTCATTTTGGGTATGTAATTTTAGGCATTTTTTTCTGGAAAAAGGGGTCTGTTTTCATCAGCCTTGATGTGTAAAGGCAGGTGTCCTAAAACTTTTGGCAATATAGTGTATATGTAGACACCCAGTGTTGTATAGACAGAAAATATCTAATTTGAAACGCTAATCCTCCCTTTCCATGTCTTTTAGGTTAAATCCAGACATTTTTGAAAAAAATGAACGGGGGTTACGTACGGTAACCCGGAATCTATGAGTATAGGCGCAGCCTTCTAAGGCTATCGCTCTAGGGTTTACCCCTTCCGCGCGCTTGCGCGGCACTGAGAATTTTAGTCTATGCCCACCCACAGCGTGGACCTCTCCTACGTCCACACCTTGTATATATAGAACGGTGAGACCCAGCCATCGGCTCCCAAATGCCTTTTCTTCAGCACTGAGAACCAAGGTCCAGTGAGGCCTTCATCTTAGAGGGCTGCACAGGCGTCCTTCAGGTCGATGGAGTGTGTGCGCCAGGGAGACTGGCTCTCCTCCATCACCTGTTTCACTGTCACATGCGAAAAGGTCTCACCATAATCGCCCTGTTGAACAGTGACAGGTCCAGGTGAGAGACCTTCACACACAGTCAGAGGGGTCTGTTGGGTGTCCTCCCACCACACGAGGTAGCGTAGTCGCCCTCTGGGTCCCCTGTCGTACCGTAGCGAGGAGCCGCTCAGAGTTGGGAAGAGTGGAGCCATCCAACTCCTGCTCTTCCGTCAACAGCAGATCGAGTCCAGAGAGCGGGTCGGCCGCCACACCTACTCGTCCTGAATGGCAAGCTATCCGCCCGGCGGCGCTACTCTTCGGGAGGGAGAAGGGCGCAGAACGGGCAGTACGAATAGATAGTGAGCGATCGGCTGGCAGCGGGGACGGAGATCACCCAGCACGATGTAGCCCGTGTGGCAGACGCCGCGGCGACTTTCCCTGTTCTGGCCGGCTTGCTGGAAGAGATCGTTCTTCTTGTTTTACAGCTTGAAAATTTTTGCTCTTTAGACAAATCTTTTGCTCTTTAGACAGCTCAGTGCTGAAGAAAAATGGGAGCCGATGGCTGGGTCTCACCGTTGTGTGTGTGTGTGTATATATATATATATATAGAAGGTGCGGACGTACGAGAGACCCACGCTGTGGGTGGGCGTAGACAAAAATCCTCAGTGCCGCGCAGGCCCGCTGTGGTCTCCACCACAAAGCCCATGATACAATAGTGAAAACCCCATCCCAATGGGAAGCTTGCATGTCTTTTGGACTTGCCCTTGTGCCGAGGTTGGTGGAATGGAGCAGTTGATGTGATGTTTATGCAGATCAGGCAGCATGTTGTGATTTTGGGAGTCATTTTGCCTTAAAATTGTCCTTGCATTTGCTTAACAGCAAACAAGTATTTTAATGGCTTGAGTTGGTGGAGGCAGACATACAGACCTCTCCAAATCACTAAACACCTACCAGCACTGCAAGCTTCTCCTTCCCACCATGGGAAATTTTGTATTTATTCACATATTTGGACATAAGCATGCACGCTGACTGTCTGGATTTGTTGGCTTTGTTTTGTGGGTGTGTAGGGTAGCAGCGAAGGCCTGGACACCAGCAGGCGGCTGGCGGCTGGCCTCAGATCTCTGGCTGATGAAATGTTAACAGGGATGCCGGAAGTCCGCTCCACTCACATGAAGAGAGACTTCATCATGAACAGACTACCACCATACAGCCAGGAGAAGCTGCTTACCCCACGTGAGCTGATTAGTGGTCATCTGTGTTCAAACGTGTACAGGGGACGGTTTACTGTGTGCATATTATTTGAAATGTACATTGCCATTTTGTGTGTGTGTGTGTCACAGCTGGGAAGATGCCTGCCTTGGAGGATACGGTGTGTTTGAGGTTTAAAGACCATATTGTAATAACTGTGGAGCCCAGCCGAGAGATAACAGTAAGTCAACAAAGGCTGTCATTTTATGTTTTAGGCTTTTAAAATGAAACTCTGTGTCTAGTAGTGTGTTGCCTGTGTGAATGAATGGTGAGATATCCTGACCAACAAAAGATTGAGTTAGCTCTGTGTGTGTGTTTCAGGATGAGGCAGCAGTGATGGTAGTTTTTGTCTTACATTCTTTGAGGAACCAGAGGGAGAGCCACATGATGGGTGAAAATTGTGATGAAGATGTGGACATCTCCAGGGTAAGATGCTGACTCACTGAATCCTGTTCTACTGTCCTACTGAGCAGTGTTGCAGTGATTTTTCTTCTTCACTCTCTCACAAGGCTGGCACAGTGATATTGCCACATTAACATGCTGTTCCCTGACCGTGGATTATGACAAATCATCTTCCACTTTGGATTGCTCACTATACTCTTCATCCAGGTTCATGCAATCTATCATCCTGGATTCCCTCTCTCACACACACTTTCTCTACGCCTCCCACCCTTGTTGACCCCCTCATGTGATTACTTAGTCAATTTACATTTACTTATTTAGCTGACACTTTCTATCCAAAGTACAACTACTATATATGTCAAAATTCTGTAGCAACTAGGGATTAAGTATAGGGCTGCAGCTAACGATAATTTTAGTATTTGAAGCGTCTATAGTGTGGACATTATCATCTGAGGACTGCGGCTGTTACCTTATCTGTGGTCCGCTGGCAGAACACCAGGTGCTTTCTGATCAGATGCCATCGTGCTGTTGCCGAGGCAACATAAACTTCGTTTTACAGTGGACGGACGGTAACATTACAGAGTTGTTGTTTTCTTTAGCTTGAAATAATCCCATACTTTGGACACTTTCTTCTTCGTCCCTTGCTATTTTCTCTCTTCCTCCACTTTGCAAACAGCGCCATCATAATCACCTTGTGTTCACAGCGTAAGCGTGATGTACGACAGTTATAAATGGCCGTGTGAAACCGTGTCCTGTATAGTTATATAGATTAAACGAAGCATTGATGCAAAGAATTTGCGTTGATGCATTTTAGTAATCGATTTAATCAATGAATCGTTTCAGCCCTAGTTAACTGTCTTGCTCAGGTCTTATCCACTGCTCCATCGCTGCCCCAAAACTGCTTAACAGCTTTATCAGGGTCAAAAACAGATGACCAATTATCCAGTCATGGAAAACACCTGGAAAGCGAGAGAAAAAGTAAAATGTCCAGAAAAATTATTTTCATAATTATTATTTTATGTATGAATAATGAAAGTTGCGTTGTCCTCCAAAGGTAAATATTAGTCCCTTCTGGATGGCAACTGTGGTAGTATTTTATTAGGTTTTTAGATTAACCTATTCTTCTCAACTTGTTTTAAACGGTTGAATAATGTTAAATATGTTTGGTTCTATGGAAGATTTAATTGAATATTTGTAACCCACAGAAGACAATCCACAAATGTGTACTATGATTTTACAAATATTTCACTATTCACAAATGTGTATTTTTACATTCGTGTTGTGTAAAATCATATCCACAAAAATACAGAATGATGTGTACACACAAAACAGTTTTTACACATTTGCGGATCACTTCCTGTCAATTTGTGGGTCATGTTACATTTGTGAGTTCCTTTTAACACTTTTTTGGAATTTTGTCCAATGTGTACTGTGGAGATCTATAAATAGACATATACACAAATATCTCACTACCCAAAACATGTATTTTTACATTTGCCTTGTGTAAAATAATATCCACAAAAATACAGTGTGATATGCAAATATACACAATTTAATCTATACAAAGATCTTTTTATTTCACATACAAAGTGTTATTTGTGCATTTGTGGATCCATTTCTACACACAAAACTGTTTTTGCACATTTGCGGATCGCTTCCTGTCAATTTGCAGGTCACATGACATTTGTAACATCCTTTTTACACATTTGTGGAATTTTGTCCAGTCTGTCCCGCTGAGATGTGTAAACAGAGATCTGTTGGTTTAAGAGCAATTTACTAGCTACACCAGCGGGTGGCAACAGCAACATTCTCTCCCATGAATTGACAGGATATTCGCGGCACTAGCTAGCGTCATCCACATATGTAGAGACAACAAGTAAAAGGACTGTAGCCTTTTTTCAATCAGCAGCGGAAAAATAAAGTGGTTGCACCTTCCTGTCAGAGCTGATAAAGAAAGCTTTGTAAAAGTATATGATGTTGTGTACCAACAGTGTGGATTTGTGCATTTTATATCAAATAATTTGGAGACTCAAAAATCCCTTCCCTCTCTCTCTCTGAGAAAAAGGAGGGGGTAGAAAAGTTTTCCTCCCCTGGAGGTTGGCCTTTTGACATGCAAAAACTAGAGACATCGCCTGGGGTTTGGTAAGGGTCTGCAGAAACTCAATCAGACATGCATTGCTTAAGGACGCCGTAAAGGTGTCAATAGACACTTAGCAGGACAGCAAAAGAAGTGTCCAATGCCTCTCCCTCTAGGGTGCCTAAAGACATCAAAGTACCGGACGTTCTGATCCCTTTTCCCATAGAATGGCTGGACCATAAAACACCACTCCCTTCTATTCTTTAGCTGATTTGCAAATGTGATAAGCCAGGATTGCGAAAGGGGGACACTTAACAACTCCTACCTTCTTGAGCTAAAACAATGTTTCATTATAAACTGTTGTTCTGTTTAACCAATAATCTTTGCTAAGTTAGTAGTGGCGTTTGCCTCCATTTGAGTAGTTACGTTACCATGTTGTTGTTTAAAGAATCTAAATAAGTTAATTTTGCAGTGTTTTAATTATCAGCAAGGTTAATGACATTCCTTCATTTTATGTGTAACCATTGCTTTCTCCCAACACTTTCTGACACCTCCTTTAGAAATGACGAAGAAATGTCATCCTATACTCGATAAATTTTCCGACTTGAATTTAAGTTAAAAATGACCCAGCTCCTAAGAAGATTGTTTTAGGATTAATCAGAGCTATCCTCATGTAACCCGAGCTCCCCCCAAGTGGACAAAATAAGTATTACAGGCCATCGTCTGAAATGCCGTTAATGTATAAATATCACTCGGTATTTATCATGACCAATAATCTGATCCCATTCGTGTATCTTGCTTAAATTCTCTAAGAACGTGTAACCGCCAATATCCAGAAAGCTAGTTAAGTTCCTCTCATCTGTGATTCCTATGAAATACTAACCTTTTTAAGTTGAACTACTGACAATTGTTTTCCTTTTTATCAAGTGCTTAAAACTAAGAACGGTACAACCGTTTGACAATTGAGGTTTGATTGTGGGAAGATATTTCATTATAATACATGCCAATAGATTTTTTTGATTAAAAATTAATTAATCTAATTTAAAATAAATAACTAATTAATATGTCTAAAGAAAGACAGTCTCTCGGGAAACCGGAAACAAGCCCTCCCGCCGGAAACAAAGGACTGCCCTCTGGGAACCACGCCCCAACCAACAAAAGCGCGACTCACGCTGTCGTTCACTCTCTTGTTCTCTGCTTGTTCCTGACTCTCCAACTGCGCTTCGGCACACGCCCGGCGTGCCCCCTCTCCCGGCAACGCCCAAAGAGTTAGGCCCGGCGCAACAAAGCCCTTTGTTCATTTCAAGCTACACACGTGAAGTGCCGCGACCTCAGCTTTCCCTCTTTTCCTGCAACTGTGCGTTTTATTTTCTATGGTTTTGTTTTGTTAAAAGTTATCAGTCCGTTAAGTTACCCAAGTTTTAATTCAAGAACGACCAAGTTCTTTTCTCTTTAAGCTTGATTCGTCGAGCCAATCTCACTGAGGTCGGACCCTCCCACGTGGTCCCGCCAGCAGTAACAAAGGACGACCAAACCTTTGACCTGCGCCAGGGTTGGCCCCCACTGCAAGTTTTTTCAATAAGCCTACAAAAGACGGACCTCCGGAGCAATTCCCTGGCAGCAAAAGCGACTGGCCGACGGCTTGAAGCTGTCCTAACCGAGAACGCACGGACTCTGCCAGTGTGAGGCCGTTTTACCGGCAACCCAGCGGGGAGAAACACAAGCAGTCCAAAACCCTACATTCTGTGCTCCAGGAAGGCCAAACTGTTGTTGTGAACATCTTCTCGTGTGAACTTGATGTTACTGTCCACAGAGTTGATGTGTTCTGTGAAGGCTTGCACTTCCTGGCTTTTAATTTTGACCCAGGTGTCGTCCACATATCTGTACCAGATATGTGCCACTGGTACAGAACACATCAACTCTGTGGACAGTAATATCAAGTTCACATGAGAAGATGTTCACAACAACAGTTTGGCCTTCCTGGACTGCGCTGTACACATTGAAGAGGACAGGAGCCTGCAGATTGGTGTTTACAGAAAACCCACACACACAGACCAATACCTACTGTTCGATTCCCACCACCCACTGGAGCACAAGCTAGGGGTCATGAGAACACTGCACCACAGAGCGGAAAACATACCAACGAGTGCCCAAGCCAGAGAGAAGGAACAGAACCACCTGAAGGGGGCACTTACAGCCTGTGGATACCCTAAATGGACCTTTGTGAAAACAGCCACAAAATCCAAGAAGAACAAAACTACAGGGGAGGAGGAAAAGAAGGTCAAACGCAACAACATTGTGATTCCATACGTGTCTGGAGTATCAGAGAAACTCAGGAGGATTTTCAACAAACACAACATCCCTGTGTTTTTTAAACCCAAGAACACACGAAGACAGATGCTGGTCCACCCCAAAGACCGCACACCCAAACACAAGAAAAGCAATCTAGTGTATGCAGTCCAATGCAGTGAGGAATGTACAGACCTGTATATTGGGGAGACTAAACAACCACTACACAAACACATGGCTCAACACAGAAGGGCCAACTCCTCAGGTCAAGACTCTGCAGTCTACTTACATCTGAAGGACAGAGGACACTCGTTTGAGGACCACCAGGTGCACATTTTAGACAGAGAAGATGGATGGTTTGAAAGAGGCGTCAAGGAAGCCATCAACACCAGGGTTGAGAAGCCGTCATTGAACAGAGGAGAGGGTCTACGCCACCACTTATCCCCCACTTACAATGCTGTCCTTTCATCACTTCCCAGGAAACTCAACAAACGTAACCTATTGGCCTCAGGTGAAGATAGCAACGATGGTCATTCAGTCTTGGCCACCGGTAGTCTTAACGACTGTAACGACTGTCGTCACAGCAATAAGGCACACTAACGAACCAGCGGTATCGATGACCCTGGCAAAGGACCCCACTGAGGTTAAATAGCTGAGT